TGTGTGTGTGTGTGTGTGTGTGGTCTGTGTGTGTGTGTCTGTGTGTGTGTTGTCTGTTGTGTGTGTCTGGTGGTGTGTATGTGTCGTGTGTGTGTGTGTGTGTGTGTGTGTGTCTGTGTGTGTGTGTCTGTGTGTGTGTGTCTGTGTGTGTGTGTCTGTGTGTGCTGTGTGTGTGTGTCTGTGTGTGTGTCTGTGTGTGTGTGTCTGTGTGTGTGTGTCTGTGTGTCTGTGTCTGTGTGTGTGTGTCTGTGTGTGTGTCTGTGTGTGTGTCTGTGTGTGTCTGTGTGTGTGTGGTGTGTAGGGGGAACGGTAGTGTAGTGCTTAGCGTGCTGCCTGTGTGTGTGTCTGTGTGTGTGTGTCTGTGTGTGTGTGGTGTGTAGGGGGAACGGTAGTGTAGTGCTTAGCGTGCTGCCTGTGTGTGTGTCTGTGTGTGTGTGTCTGTGTGTGTGTGTGTCTGTGTGTGTGTCTGTGTGTGTGTGCGTGTGTGGGGAGCGGTAGTGTAGTGGTTAGCGTGCTGTCTGTGTGTCTGTGTGTCTGTCTGTGTGTGTCTGCGTGTGTCTGTGTGTGTGTCTGTGTGTGTGTCTGTGCGTCTGTGTGTGTGAGGAGTGGTGGGTGTAGTGGTTAACGCTACGCTGCGATACCAACCCGGCGAACCGAGTTCGATTCCCGCTCATGGCCACCACCGGTCAAGATTATTTGAACCTCCCATAGGTCGACTCAGCCTCAAACGAGTAACTGGTGTGGCGTATTAACATCGCCACTGGGGAGACAAAGGCGGCCGGCCGTGGTGGATACAAGTCCCGGGCGAAGCCGGGTAGTACAGCTAGTCTATATATATAAAATCGTGCATGTCTGTCTGTCTGTGTATGTGTGTGTGGATTTCGGACCATACGCACTTTCATTGGACGGCGGTTGCCCCTGGCAACAGCTAACGACGCCTTCGCCGCTTTCATTGGACGGCGGTTGCCCCTGGCAACGAGTAGCAACTTTTCTCCGCGGGGTGGACGCCATTTTTAATAGCGCGGGGGGGGGGGGGGGACCGGCACCCGTACCCAGCGTTCGCCGGGTGGGAAAATCAGGCAAGGCGGGAGGCTCTGCACGGTGCTAGGCCTCGACACCCAACACGCCACTCTGAGGTAAATTCATACAAATTTCACGTCCTCTACAGAGTGGCGAGGGAGGCAGAGTGGCGAGGGAGGGACTCAGCCTCAAAACGAGTAACTGGTGTGGCGTATTAACATCGCCACTGGGGAGACAAAGGCGGCCGGGCGTGGTGGATACAAGTCCCGGGCAAAGCCGGGTCATGACTATGTGTGTATGTGTTTATGTGTATGTCTGTGTGTCTGTATGTATGTGTGTATGTATGTGTCTGTATGTGTTTGTGTGTATGTATGTGTGTGTCTGTATGTATGTGTGTGTGTATTGTGTTTGTGTGTATGTATGTGTGTGTTTGTATGTATGTGTATGTCTGTGTGTATGCATGTGTGTGTATGTGTTTGTGTGTATGTGCGTGTATGTATGTGTGTGTATGTGTGTGTCTGCAGCAAGCGCGTGTATGTGTACCTATGGACGCGCGCGCGTGTGTTGTGTAGGGGGAACGGTAGTGTAGTGCTTAGCGTGCTGCCTGTGTCTGTGTGTGTGTGTCTGTGTGTGTGTCTGTGTGTGTGCGTGTGTGGTGTGTAGGGGGAGCGGTAGTGTAGCGGTTAGCGCGCTGTGCTATGAACCTGGCGACCCGGGTTCGATTCCCGCTCACGGCTAACACCAGTGACGATTATCTGAAACGGTCCTGGGCCTCCCCTAGGTCGACTCAGCCTTAAATGAGTACCTGGTGCGGTGTGTAAACATCGCCACTAGGGAGACAAAGGCGGTCGGGCGTGGTGCTGGCCACCCACCCCCTCGTGTACCGTTCCGGCCTTCATAGATGCTCGCTAACAGCACTTGCCCCTACAGTCTCTTAACACAATACAGGTACTCATTTTGAGCCTGAGGTGACCTAAAGTCACGTAGCTGCAGTTCATTCAGACTCTGTCGCCTCGACGGACCTGGTTTTCACCTGAGGACGGCTGCTTGCGTTGTGGCCGAAACGTCGTGAGAATTGTTTTATTATGTTTTATTTTTATTATTTTATTACTTCCCTTCTACGTGACTTTACCGAAAGAACCAAGAAGACAGATACAGTTGTTTATATATATCATTTTACATCTGGAAGACTTCATTGAAAACGACATTTCGTGTGAATTTTCTCTCGTTAAGTAGATGTCCTTGTTGGGGGTTCGGTTCGATGCGGACTTTCACCTGTTTGGGATTGCGGGATCGAGATAAGGCGATATCGAGCTGCTGGCCGTGCGAGAAGACCACCGTCTGCTGATCCCAACGTAATCGAACGTCTGTCCCTACGCCGACGTCGTTCATGCACGGGGCACGTGTAGGTTTTCAGCGCCCCCTGCATGAAAACGAGGGGAAGTGCAACGCTCATCATATTCATCTATGATAAAGTTGGGCGTTTATATTAATCCAGGTAGTCCTCTACTTACGATGGAGATGCGTTACGACGACCCCATCGTAAGTCAAAAATATCGTAAGTCGAAGATGGCCTAGCCTACCCAGGAGTCTTAAAGAATGGTGATAATTTAGCAAAACAGAGCAATTTACAGTAGCGTACTGTATAAACTATATACTGTATGTATTTATTAATTACAAGACTGTATTGCACAGTAAAATGTAAAGTAAAAAAACAAGGTAAATTCTTAGCCTACCTATATGAACTGCAATTTAATGGAAAGTTTTTTCAGGAAACAATCCTATCTGCTATAGAAAAAACTTTTAACATGCATTGAACGTATCGTATCGTGGTAAGCCTAAAATGAAATCGTTAAAGCTACGCATCATACATGCATTGATCGTAACGTATATTGCACTGTACTCACCAAGATTCGTACCTCGTACGCTGCTACGTGTGCCTGCCGCGCGAAATTTTAAATATTTCACAATTTTGTCGTATCGCTATCGTAAGATCGAAATATTGTAAGTCGGACCATCGTAACTCGGGGACTATCTGTACTAGCTTCACTACCCAGCTTCCCCCGGGACTTGGATTCTTGTCTTGGATTAATACACGGCCAACGCGTGACGTCAGCAGGCACACTGCGTGACGCTGCCGCATGCGGGTGACATCACAGATGTGACGTCACAGCTCACTTGCGTGCAAATTATATCCATTATTGTGCCCCCCCCCCCAAAAATACAAAAGTGTATTTTTAGAATTTTTGCATGGTGTACAGTTTGGAAAGTACCCACATGGCAAATTTCAAGTTTGTTGCATGTCGCGAAGTATGCTAAACATTTTGAACAGACACACATTCACAAATTTTCCTTTTATATATACAGTATAGACTACTACCCGGCTTCCCCCGGGACTTGGATTCACCACGCCCGGCCGCCTTTGTCTCCCCAGTGGCGATGTTCACACACCACACCAGTTACTCGTTTGAGGCTGAGTCGACCTCGGGGAGGCCCAGGACCGGTTCAAATAATCGTCACCTGTGGTGGTCGTGAGCGGGAATCGAACTCGGGTCGCCGGGTTCGTAGCGTAGCGCGCTAAGCACTGCGCATGCGCGGGTGACATGACAGATGTGACGTCACAGCTCACTTGCCGTGCAAAATACAGTATATGCATAATTGCGCCCCCCCCCCCCCCCCAAATACAAAAGTCTATTTTTATAATTATTGCATGGTGTAAAGTTTGGAAAGTACCCACATGGCAAATTTCAAGTTTGTTGCATGTCGGGAAGTACGCTAAACATTTTGAACAGACACATTCACAAATTTCCATTTGATATATATGGAGATTAATGCATCCTGACTTTTGTGCCAATGTGTACATTCTTTATAATCGGGATGGCTTGGTTGCATAGTTATTAGCATGTATGCATGTTACACTTCTTTCGCACCATACGTAGCCAACCTTAGTTTAACTATGAAAATGGCGACCTTAGTTTAATTCCCAGCCTTAGCTCACGAGTGGTGACATCTGAACTGGTCCTGGATGCCCCTCCTCCCTTCACCAACCCACATGTACGAGTGTGAAGTATCGTAAAACACTCATGACCATACTCTTTGGTTCTTTCGGTAAAGTCACGTAGGTATAAAATAAACTAAATCACGTTTCGATCGCAACACAAGCGGTCGTCCTCAGGCGGAAAAAATATAATCCAGCAGTGGAACTGCTGAACCAGCGAGAGAGCAGTTACAACAAGGTTATATATGTGGCGTTGGGAAAGCAAGCGGGGTCTGAGCTGGAAAGGAATTCCATCCACGGACGTAAGCACGTCAGTTGTGTTAATGGGGGAGACGAGGGAGAGAGGGATTAGGGAGGGAGATTAGCATGAATGAGCTTCCGTCGCCACATAAGAGTATCATGCCCGCATATGCGCATAAAAGCAGTGTTAATGAGAGATTAGCACCATGAGAGTGCAATCCAAAGGGCATGTGAGCCTGAGATGTGCAATCCAAAGGACATGTGAGAGATCTAAGAGAGGCATAGAGACAGTCGGAAATAACAGCTGACAAAGGCAGGTAGGATGGAAACATCACAGTCAGTTAAGACTTTACCTAGTTAATAACGCCCTTCCAAGGATTGCTCAGTTGGTACCCATCTTCTCGGTTGAAGTTGTCTGTGTTTATAGACCTGGATGGCTTCATGAACAGAGTACCTCCGTCGTGGAAAAATCTATTTTAATGAAGGCCTTCATCAAGAAGTGCTGCCAAATACTGCATATTAACCTCCTAAAATACATTTTACTCTGTGACAATATTGTTATTGGAGCAATGAAATCGATTGTGTGTAGGTGCTCAGTGGAGTATCACATGAACCAGAAAATTCTCAAACGCTGACTATAGCTGTTCAAAAACACGTCACCACGTAGCAAATTAGAAACCAATGAACGTTACACAAAGCAGTGAAGATTTTATGAAAAAAGCAGCACACAAGCACACCAGACCTGGGGTCAATTTTTATTACCATCATTACAGAAGCAACATGTACTGAAGTTACATTGTGACTGTAATTAAGAATGGCCAATTACAATTGTAAAGTTTGTCTCCTTGAAATCATGTAGGTGGGTATACTGTGGCCTGTATATAACAGGGGTTTTGTTAGGGGCAGGAGGTAAAAAATTTGGGAAAATTGGAAAAATAAAATCGCAGTCCCAAAAAATTAATAAAACACCATTAAAAGCAATGTCGAGTGGTTTTCAGTTGCAAACATACGCTATGTAGAAACATCAAGTGCTAGGCAGTCCCATTTTAGTACTGTAACAAATTATACCATAATTAGTTCCTGTACAGTAACAAAGTCTCTCGCTACACTCCCACTTCTCCAGACCAAGTACTTTCTTATAATTGTTGTATTGTTTTAAGTTACTTTATACATTTATGCTGTATACTTTTTCATGTAATAGGAATTGTTTAGCACTCAAAAAATACAAGTTGTAAACGTGATAAATTTGACCTCAGAAATGTAAAAAAAAAAATGGATATACTGGGCACCCCACCCAAGGGCAGTGTAAATTAAAGTTACCAAATATCTGGGGCTCAACCTGGACACATCATGGTGATCCGGCTGCACATCCATCAGCCCTGCCCACTTTTACACAACCTTGCCCACACAGCCACTAGCCCCACCCACACAACCAATTGCCCGCCCACACAACCGCCATTACCCAGTAAGTGGCAGTGATGTCACCACAGCGCTTGTGCCAGGCCAGGCTCGCCAGGCTCACAGCAAACAGCCCCACTCAGTGAGACCTCGACCACTCATTCATGGTGCCACTTGCTGCTCATAGACCGTGCCCATTCCTCAGCCAATCCGACCCATGACTCAGCTATCCCTGTCCTTTGCCTGTATAAGATAAGCGCGAGCCAGGACACTTTTAACCAGGACAAAATCTACATTTTCACAAAAGCTTTGGCAGAGAGGGGGGGGGGACCTTTCTGACACCAGCTCTGTGCCGGCCAAACCAGGATGTCTGGCAGCAATCGTGTGAATGACCCCGGTCTGCTCAGCAGGCTACGGTGCACAATGGACGGTAGGACCCAATCGGCGGCGTCAATGTCAGCTTGTGGTATGGTTCGTATGAGGCAGGGCCGCAGGCAACGGGGGAATGAACATGGCCTTCAGCGAGGCAGCCATGCTGGCGATTTCGGGGTCCTGGGACTCGTAGCTGCGGATGAGGCGCGTGAACTTGAGCACACCTGCACACATTGCATACAGGGGCAGCAAGGCGAGGTTCACAAAGTGAGACCGGAACACTCAGCGCTCAACTTCATAAACTATATGCTCTTACATATGGATCATATACATGGTAATTTACAACAAAATTAACAAAATATTCACAAAATATTTAGAAATGAAGGCTTGGAATTACGTTGAGAGAAAAATTAACACATGGAAGATAACATACAAAGATGAAGTCAATTAATACTGTCAAAAAGTGGATTTGGACAGACCACATCACAAGGGATGATCGCCGATTTTTTAAATAGTGATAGTGGCAGCCAAGCAATGGAACGCGTCTGAGATTAGATCTATCGAGGAGATGGAGCATTTAAATCATGTATGTACAGGTGCGAGGGGGATTATTAAATCGCAGAACTGGGAGAGATGGCAATGCCTTCATCAAGCAGTGAATTAATTATGGCGGATTATAATGATAGACGATGAGGGGCAGAGTTTGGTGACACAGTAGCTATTGCACTAAGAACCTTGCGTATGCTATCCTGCCTATGTCAGCATTAAACCTTGCAGGTGTAAGGGTGCAGGAGATGCAGTGGCTGAGCCCACAAATTTATATGACACCTGAAGCGTTGGTACAAAAAGCAAGCAGAGCCAGTGTCAGGATGTTCCTGGAATGGCTGGGTACTGCTGGGACCCTTCGTGCTCATCTAGGCTAAAGACACCCTTTATTAAGCCAGGTTCTCTCCTGTGGAGTTGATGGTCTCAGCCTGGACTAAAACAGTGACCGACAGACGAATATAGAAACCCATGGTCTTAAATAGACTGGGTTGTGATCAAACCGGGTTCCAAGTGTAGAGTTGATGATCTCAGCCCACATTCAATTTAGTTTTGCACTTAATTCACCAAAATGCTAGCCCTGAGAAATACAATTAACAGTTTCACTGCCACCAAAGAAACATTTATGAGTAGGTCTGTGGATAAGAGATCACTCAGTAGTTCTATGAGATTTCCTTCCAAGAAACATTCTCTAACACGTGGATTGATGCAACTCGTTGGAAAGTTTTATCGAGAGACTCGCGGCCATGCACAAGTCCGCCATGGTCACGCGGCGACTTGCCACGTACCCTCTCCGTCGTTGGTGAAGCCGTACGTCTTGACCACATCCTGCTGGATCTGCGTGGCGAGCGGCAGCACGAGCTGCAGCGTGCGGCACATGTCGTTAGCGGCTCCATCGCGCGCCTCCTCCATGCGCGATGCATTCTCGGGCAGCGCAAATGCCGCCAACACCTCCGCCAGGACAGCTGTGGGGGGGCGTGAGGGGCAGGGAGGAAAGCAGGGTGGGCAGGGAATACAGTTACACATAGTTTACTAATGTACAGTACAATACATGTCCGATACAATATGGAATTATTGGGTGTAGAAGCACAATGGTTCGTCAAAAACCACAGTTTCGAATTTAGAGATACGGTTTTTGGTTCCGTTTGCCTCTCCGCTCTTATTGTACATTTATAATTTGTTCACAAGGATCATTGGGAACAGAATAAAGGAAAATGTAGAGGCGAACCAACCACAAGCTTCTCCAAGTTTTGAAAATGTTTATCTTCCTTTTGAAATATCAAAAGCCAGAGACACCATCACTACTCTAAGGAATCAGTTTAAATGCTCAGCGAGGCATAAGTATCAATTACTTGAGATTGGCAGGACAAGTGGCTCACATATGCAGACTTACACACTTAGGGAGACTTGAGATTCAGTATAAATGGCAAATGTTGACAAGCAGACACATTCATACATAGGAATCGGGAGATCCAAAATCACATGAATAGTGCCCTTTATTCACTCCGGAAAGACTCACTCAGGGAAAGACACACTCATCCTCGCGGTGGCTTTTGGCTAAACATCGAACAAATATGGTCACTACATCGCGCTCTTTCAGATGCGCTTCTGCAACTGTCTGGAATGCTCTTCCTTCCGATATTAAGAAGCCACTGGAGCTATGCACTTTTAAATCAAGATTGAAGACTCACTTCTTTAGGACTGCTTTTTGGGTTTAATTTGTTGTCCTTCCCCCCGCACGTCCAATTAGTACCGTTAGCTATGTATCGTGTGAAAGAAGTTCAACATACATACATACATGACTCTTTCAGGAGGGTCACATTATGCTTGTCCAATTACATTGACGATTATATTATTTGGCTTCATGTGGGAGAAAACCATCATTCATATAAGATTGTATCAAGCTTCACATATAAGTTGAAGAATCCATTAATGACCTGTTATAACCTGTCCATTTCTCAGTAACCGTCTGACCCTCTCTTACTAAACATCTGTGAAAATAGCTTCATAGCTCATTGGCTTTCTCCAAGATAAATAAAGATTCTGATTTCAAAAAATCAGCATTCCCAGGCATTCTCCTAAGTACTAACCAGGCTCAACCCTGTTTGGCATCCTCAATCTGATGAGATTCCATGCATTCAGAATTGTGTCCTATTCTTGCCCATGATGGCGATATGTTTAAGAGCTAAATACCGCAGTCGATGTCTGCTGGCAACGGGAGGGCTTCAAGAGAGAGTTGTAGGTTTGCTATTGCTCCATTGAATGAGCAGACTACAGTGGCTTACTGTATAGTCCAGAATTTAGGTTGCAATGGCCAGTCGGACTACTGTGGCATGCCTTTAATCTTCCATTCGTGAAGTTTATGTGCGCATCGGCCTGTGATGATACGTTTGCGCTAAACAGGTTTGAGCCTCTGAGAACGGCTGCACAACAAGTGGAACGTACGGGACAAGCAGGGCCATATTATCCAAAAGCACAGTAGGCACTGTGCCTCTTAAATTTACCACTGTGCCTACGGCCTACGAAAACTGAAGGGCCAACGAATTTATTTTACCGTGTTTGGTTTGTTTGTACGATTTTAAAAAATGTAACCAAGATATATTATTGATTATATAGCTTGGATAGGCACTGTGTATATACACAAAGGAGTCAAGTCAAAACTATGTTTTTGTAAGGTGTGAGAAATTAACACCGGAGATGAACTTTTCGAGATTTTTTTTCATAAAAAAAACTGGCAATAACATCTTCAAATTGTGTTTTTTCGCATTCTTATTAGAGGGTGGTAATAAGGGCTGCAGTACTGTAGGAAGTTACCACTGAAGGTCAACGAAAAAGAAGTGCCTAGGGCCTACAAGAATAAAAACAATGGTAAAACCTATTCTTGTTTTTTCAAACTTTGATACTGGCAAAAAAATGTCCCATTTTGTGGCCTACAAGAACCTTAATCCGGCCCTGGGGTTCAAGAGGTCAGAGCCAAATGTTGCCATCCCCTCGCCTCGTAGCTTCTCCCGTTTCCTAACCACACGAAGCCAACCCGCGTTGTTACGAAGGATCGATTAACGTTAAACAATGTCAGCATGTAAAGATATCGATGTTCACGGGTCGCATTTGTTGTTGTTGTTGTAGTAATAATGGATTACGTGGGAGGTCAAACAATTGCCGGAAGGGCCACTTACACTCACCGCAAAGCTAAAACCACCAGAATTTGAGGATCTTGAATCGCAACGCAACTCTCGCCCATCGAAATCGCTGCGTGGTGGCGATGAATCAATGGATCGTTACCCAAACATCGCACGGAAGGAATTGGACAAACGCCACCGCGTGAGCAGCACCCTCCTGAGATGTACGTCTTGAGACTCGGGGTCAACTCTCCCGGATGCATTTAGACAGGCTTCATTATCATGTCGGCGTGGTTATAAACAACCCGCGACCCGCATGGCGTGGGGAGGCCCTCATCCAGCAGTGGATTGAAAATGGATGTGCATGTACAGGATCGTAGAGCAAGTGCTTGGCTCGGAGCACGACACGGCTAACAATGAGGACTCGAGCGATATCCCAACCTGACCTGGACTTTGGCGACCGCACGCGGTGAAGTTTTGGTGAAACAGCAGCAGCACCACTGCCACGTCCGCCAGACACGCGGCTCAACGCCGTGGTGATGGTGGTGGTGATGATGGTGGTGGTGATGGTGATGATGGTGGTGGTGGTGATGGTGATAGTGATGATGATGATGGTGGTGGTGGTGATGATAGTAGTGGTGATGATGATGGTGGTGATGATGGTGGTGATGATGGTGGTGGTGATGGTGGTGGTGATGGTGGTGGTGATGGTAGCGGTGATGATGGTGACGGTGGTGATGGTGGCGGTGGTGATGGTGGTGGTGGTGATGGTGATAGTGGTGGTGGTGATGATGATGGTGGTGGTGATGATGGTGGTGATGGTGGTGGTGGTGATGGTGGTGATGGTGGTGGTGGTGATGATAGTGGTGGTGATGATGATGGTGGTGATGATGATGATGATGGTGGTGGTGGTGATGATAGTGGTGGTGATGATGATGGTGGTGATGATGGTGATGATGGTGGTGATGATGGTGGTGGTGATGGTGGTGGTGATGATGGTGGTGGTGATGGTGGTGATGATGGTGACGGTGGTGGTGGTGATGGTGGTGATGGTGGTGGTGGTGATGGTGATAGTGGTGGTGATGATGATGATGGTGGTGGTGATGATGATGGTGGTGGTGGTGATGATAGTGGTGGTGATGATGATGGTGGTGATGGTGGTGGTGATGATGGTGATGATGGTGGTGGTAATGGTGGTGATGATGGTGATGGTGTCGCCCCCAAACGAGCGTCTCACCTTTCGCCTGGTCCACGGACAGAGTGGGGGCGGCCTGCTGAGTGGAGGCCATGGCTGCGAGGGCCCACGCGAGTCTCTGCCGCCACCAAACCCCACGCCACTTGAGCCGCGACCGCGGAGCGAGTGGCGGAGAATCGACGACGACGAGCGGAGACGCCAGACACAGGAGACAACCCTCTCCACCGCCACAACCACTACAACAACCACCACCACAAAGCCTCGAAACGCCGAGACTCGCAACAGACTCACGATGAGCCAAACAACAGCAACAGCAGCAGCAATAACCGCCGGTCGCCGCTAAGTGGCGCTCGTGCCCTGCTGCAATGCCAAGATGAAGCGCGGTTGGCTACGAACGCAGACCTGTCAACCCACTTTGATTGACAAACAAAGTCAGGGTGATTTTTATTTGATGATGCCGATGCACCGCATCGTCCACCTCCTTGCTGTCAACCCCTTATCAGTGCCCCCTACCTTATTGCAGACCAATTCAGACATTATTGGTCACCCCATGTCCATTATAAATCTCAACGTTCATCCTGCAAAGTCCCATCACAAAAAAAATTGACAAAAAAATGTGTTTGCACGTATTGAAACGGCTGTACCCCGTACGGATCTGAAAACTAAATTTCCCTTTACCAGAATACGGGGTAATCCATATGGGGTGGCACGGTATGCCGGTACGGTGCGAAAGAAGTTCAACATGCATACGAAGGCCCGCTGGCAGGTTACGGAACAGACCCAAGTTCTGCCATGGGTTGACTGACTGAGATGGCTGGCAGATGCACCAGCTATGGCTCCCCGCTGCGCCAGCTCTGCTTTTTAGTCACCCAGCCAATATACGGCAGTCCTCGACTTAGGAACGGATAGTGTTCCTGAGACTCGTTCGTAAATCGATTTGTTCGAATCTCAGAACTGAACATTTTTTTATTGTACATACGGTCAGTGTTATAAAATGTGTTTTGGCTCAACAAAAAAGGGAAGCATTAAACTCAGAAATAAAACAAATATATTGCACATTTGCATGTAAAGTAATCTATATATATAAAATCGTTCATGTCTGTGTGTCTGTGTGTGTGTGTGTGGACTGCACTTTCATTGGACGGCGGTTGCCCCTGGCAACGGCTAGCCACGCCTTCGCCGCTTTCATTGGACGGCGGTTGCCCCTGGCAACGAATAGCAACTTTTCTCCGCGGGGTGGACGCCATTTTTAATAGCGCGGGGGGGGGGGGGGGGGGGACCGGCACCCGTACCCAGCGTTCGCCGGGTGGGAAAATCAGGCAAGGCGGGAGGCTCTGCACGGTGCTAGGCCTCGACACCCAACACGCCACTCTGAGGTAAATTCATACAAATTTCACGTCCTCTACAGAGTGGCGAGGGAGGCAGAGTGGCGAGGGAGGCAGAGTGGCGAGGGAGGGACTCAGCCTCAAAACGAGTAACTGGTGTGGCGTATTAACATCGCCACTGGGGAGACAAAGGCGGCCGGGCGTGGTGGATACAAGTCCCGGGCAAAGCCGGGTCATGACTATGTGTGTATGTGTTTATGTGTATGTCTCTGTGTCTGTATGTATGTGTGTATGTATGTGTCTGTATGTGTTTGTGTGTATGTATGTGTGTGTCTGTATGTATGTGTGTGTGTATTGTGTATGTGTTTGTGTGTATGTATGTGTGTGTTTGTATGTATGTGTATGTTTGTGTGTATGCATGTGTGTGTATGTGTTTGTGTGTATGTGCGGTTATGTATGTGTGTGTATGTGTGTGTCTGCAGCAAGCGCGTGTATGTGTACCTATGGACGCGCGCGCGTGTGTTGTGTAGGGGGAACGGTAGTGTAGTGCTTAGCGTACTGCCTGTGTCTATGTGTGTGTGTGTGTGTCTGTGTGTGTGTGTCTGTGTGTGTGTCTGTGTGTGTGTGTCTGTGTGTGTGTGTCTGTGTGTGTGTGTCTGTGTGTGTGTGTCTGTGTGTGTGCGTGTGTGGTGTGTAGGAGGAACGGTAGTGTAGTGCTTAGCGTGCTGCCTGTGTGTCTGTGTGTGTGTGTGTCTGTGTGTGTGTGTCTGTGTGTGTGTGTCTGTGTGTGTGTGTCTGTGTGTGTGTCTGTGTGTGTGTCTGTGTGTGTGCGTGTGTGGTGTGTGGGGAGCGGTAGTGTAGTGGTTAGCGTGCTGTCTGTGTGTCTGTGTGTGTGTGTCTGTCTGTGTGTGTGTTCTGTGTGTGTGTCTGCGTGTGTGGTGTGTGGGGAGCGGTAGTGTAGTGGTTAGCGTGCTGTCTTTGTGTCTGTCTGTGTCTGTCTGTGTGTTTCTGCGTGTGTCTGTGTGTGTGTGCGTCTGTGTGTGTGAGGAGCGGTGGGTGTAGTGGTTAACGCTACGCTGCGCTACCAACCCGGCGAACCGAGTTAGATTCCCGCTCATGGCCACCACCGATCAAGATTATTTGAACCTCACATAGGTCGACTCAGCCTCAAACGAGTAACTGGTGTGGCGTATTAACATCGCCACTGGGGAGACAAAGGCGGCCGGCCGTGGTGGATACAAGTCCCGGGCGAAGCCGGGTAGTACAGCTAGTACTGTAATAAATGTGTAGCGTCGGTGTCAGGCATTGTATATAGCATTGTTATGCACACTTACCTGTAGTAGCACACATGTGTCCATAGGGGGTGGTAACCCGGGATAGGCAGGATGAGCCGGGCCGTTGAGACACGAGGCTCTTCCAATCCCAAGAGAGGGGTTGGGGGGGATATTCCAGAGCCCCCTAGAGAGTTTAACACGTAGGCTTTCGCGACCAATATTATTCATAATCAACGTTTTTGGGTTAGATCGCGTTATTTATAATATTGGTCGCGAAAGCCTCTGTGTTAAACTGACTAACCTCTATGGGGAGGATAATTTTCTTAAAACCATGCCCGATGATGCTGGATGCAATTACCAGCGAAACGTCGTACTCAAAAATTGTAAATGTTGTGGTTTCACGCTTCAACACACCGGTGGGCTAAAGCAGTGAACTATTTGTCTTTTGTCAACGTGACATTTTTTTTGCTGATTGGCCGTGTCGGGTGGTGGAGGGTTACGACATTTATAAATAACGCGATCTAACCCAAAAACGTTTATTATGCCCCCTAGAGAATTCCAGTAGGGGGGCGTGGCCACGGATATAAAAGCCGGACCTCTGGACGAGTCTGGCAGTCTTCGTCAAGCTGAAGAAAGAAGACCAGTTAGGCTAGGACCCTGGGAACCCCCAGACCCGCCGTCCTTCTAAGGGCCGTGACCGAGTGGGCCAGTGGTCGGGACCAGAGGACCTTGGCTGGGTCGGGTCAGATAGCCTCCCCCTAGGACCCCTTAGCCGGATGAACGTGAGTGTCGTCCCAGTGGTTAGGACATGCTAGCCCGGAGGCTATACCTCCTTGGGTATCGGGTAGAGGGGCCGCTACCCCTCTGTGTTAGGGACCCGTGTATCCCGCAGTTGTATTGAATAAACGTGTGCCTCAAGCGCTCCGTCTCCGGTCTCCCTGAAACCCACTACAAATGTATTGTAAATGCAACATGAAATAACATGAAAAAAATGATGTTATATTTCACTTACCTTGAGTCGAACGGTTCACTGTCGTTATGCATCACAGAGGATGCTGGGACTAATTACATCTCGTGGAGGATCGCTCCACCGAGCAAAATAGTTCCGTGGTTCGGTTCGTAAGTACAACGGTATGTTTACAAGTTGGAGGCTTAAAAATAATGTCTTACGGTAGAGGTTCGTTCGTAAGTGCGGATGTTCGTAAGTTGTAAGTTTATATCTCGGGGACTGCCTTACACAGAGACCCATAGACTTCCAGAGGCTCAGACTTACACAGAGCCCCATAGACTTACACAAAACCCCATAGACTCACGGAGACTCATCGACTAAAACAGAGACCCACAGACTCACACAGAGCCCCATAGACTCACACAATAACCTATAGACTCATAGAAACCCACAGACTCACATAGAGACCCACTCACACAGAGACTCACAGACTCACAAAATCCTAAAAACTCACAGAAACCCACAGATTTCCAAAGAGAGCTATAGACTCACACAGAGACCTATTGACTTACATAATACCTTATATACGCACAGATGCCCATACTCACATAGAAACCCATAGACTCACACAGAGACCCACAGACTCACATCGAGACTTATAGACTCACAGAGACCCACAGACTCACACAGACCTATAGACTCATACAGATATGTATGTTGAATTTCTTTGCCCATAGACTTAGAGACCCATAGACTCACAAAGAGACCAGATACCCATTTCAGCACCATTGTAATGGTTTGCCATGTTACGATGCTATAGAAATTATTAATTAACACAAATGTAAACATTTAACGCATTTTCCATTGGAAACAATCAATAATAAGGTAATTTCCAGGGTTGTGTATATTTGACAGTATATTGCATAACTACAATGTTCACAAAATATTGGCACTGAATGAGTGGGGCGTGTGGGTCATTGTCTCTGGACATTTGTGAAAAAGAGCTTCATCACTCATCGGATTTCTCCAGTTTAAATAAAGATCTTGATTCTGTCGTGTTTCGCGACGATCAGAGTCCACTTTTGCTCAACGCTCCTTACACCGCTTGTCATCGATGAGAAACACCGTAGTAAATGCTGTACTGTATTGAATTCGTCACCTGTGATTTTTTTTTATATATGTACTAGGCCTGAAAATTATACATTTTCCTCCGTTTTCTGGAGGGTCACAAACGCAATTAATGGCAAAATTCGGCGAATTATCTGTAAAATTTACAATGAAATATATATCAAAGGTGTGTGTACATCTATTTCATTGTACGATCATATACATACAATGACATCTATTAAAATTCGAATCGCTTCAAAACATTGTTTCATCAACATTTAAGTTGGTTTCTGTGAACATCGTTCTTTGCAACGTGGAGCGAGCAGCAGCAGTCAGCGCCCGTGTGGGGTGTGGCCCGAACCGTCGCGTCCTCGGGCCCAGGGAGTGGCGATGGGTCTGTGATTCTAAACGTCTCGTACGAATGGCGAGGAATTGTCCGTCTTGTGTGAATACCATTCACGACAATCACCACGGCAGAGACACTAAAACAACAACACAGCATGCAGTTTAAAATTGTCACGTTATTTATAACAGATATACTGTGCTGGTCTCAAAACCCCCCTTTGCGTTATACTCGGTTCGATACCAAACGGTGACGATTCCCAGCTCCGAAGAACGTTCCCCCGTTTGGACTCGCGATGCGGGGAGAAGGTGCGCGCGAGATTATTGAAGAGATTGCAGAAAAAAAATTCTGAGCAGCGTGAGCAAGGAGGTGGACGACACCGATTGCACCCCGTGCATACCTGTCAACCCCTTATCAATGCCCCCCCCTACCTTATTACAGACCAATGCAGACCTAATTGGTCACCCCCGTGCCCTGATAAATCTCAACGTTCATCCTACAAAGTCACGTCACATGGGAGAAACGCAGACAAATAGACATAACATTTGTTTGCCCATATTGAAACGGCTGTACACCATATGGAACTGAAAATTCAATTTCCCCGTACAAGAATACGGATAAACTATATGGGTTGACAGGCAATGGCAGAGCCAGAATTTTCAGGTAGAGGGGGCAACCCCTCCAGCAATGAAACATTATAGTTGTTAGTAAGTAAGGACTTGCCCCTTGCTTTTTATTCGACGCGTGTGCGGCAAAGGCGCAGCCGTCGATCAAGGGTCGAATTCGAACCGCGTTGTGTGATCGGCATCGTGCTCGCTGAAGATGTTTGCCTTCAGGGAAGTCGTGTCCTGTATACGCAACTGCGCACAATTCTGCGAGTCACTTATAACTGCTTTGCCGTTACTTATTGCCAATTATGGACTCAGACTAATGTCCTATCATCTCATAGAGTCCATGGCACATACTATGCTACACAGTGGCAGTGGGAGGTCGCAAAATGCCGATTTATTACGAATAAACCCAATGATCTGATCGAAATTAGGGATTTCGATCTGAATATGGGGGGGGGGGGGGCAGATGCCACCCCACCCCCCCACTGGCTCCGCCAGTGTTGACAGGTATGCGACTATACACGACACTACTATACACTAGACCAGGGGTCGGCAACCTACGGCTCTGGAGCCGCATGCGGCTCTTTACAGGCTGCTTCTTGACGATATGTACAGTATGTACTCAGATGCATTGCGGCTCTTGAAATACTGAATTTTGTACCGAATTGGAAAGAAATGGCTCTTCTTGTTATTTTGGTTGCCGACCCCTGCACTAGACTATACACTACACTGCTATACACTACACTATACACCACTACACTACTCTACACTACACTACAATATACACTACACTACGATACACTACACTATACACCACAACACTACTATGCACTACACTACAATATACACTACACTACGATACACTACACTATACACCACTACACTACTATACACTACACTACGATACACTACACTATACACCACTACACTACTATACACTACACTATACACTACACTATACACTACACTACTATACACTACACTATACACCACGACTATACACTACACTACAATATACACTACACATCTATACACTATACACCACTACACAACTATACACTATACACCACTACACTACTTTACACTACACTATACACTACACAACTATACACTACACTATACACTACTATACACTATACACTACATTACACTACACTATACACCACTACACTACTATACACTACACTACTATACACTACACTATACACCACGACTATACACTACACTACAATATACACTACACAACTATACACTATACACCACTACACAACTATACACTATACACCACTACACTACTTTACACTACACTATACACTACACAACTATACACTACACTATACACTACACTACTATATACTATACACTACATTACTATACACTATACACCACTACACAACTATACACTATACACCACTACACTACTTTACACTACACTATACACTACACAACTATACACTATACACCACTACACAACTATACACTATACACCACTACACTACTTTACACTACACTATACACTACACAACTATACACTACACAACTATGCACTACACTACTATACACTACATTACTATACACTATACACCACTACACTGCTATACACTACACTACAATATACACTACACTATACACTACACAACTATACACTACACTACTATATACTACACTATACACCACGACTATACACTACACTATACACTACACAACTATACACTATACACCACTACACAACTATACACTATACACCACTACACTACTTTACACTACACTATACACTACACAACTATACACTACTATACACTACATTACTATACACTATACACCACTACACTGCTATACACTACACTACAATATACACTACACTATACACTACACTACTATACACTACACTAAACACTACACTGCTATACACTACACTACAATATACACTACACTATACACTACACTACAATATACACTGCACTATACACTACACTGCTATACACTACACTATACACTACACTACTATACACTATACACCACTACACTACTATACACTATACACCACTACACTATACACTACTATACACTACACTACTATACACTACACTACTATACACTACACTATACACTACACTACTATACACTACACTATACACTACTATACACTACACTATACACTACTATACACTACACTACTATACACTACACTATACACTACTATACACTACACTACTATACACTATACACCACTACACTATACACTACTATACACTACACTATACACTACACTACTATACACTACTATACACTACACTACTATACACTATACACTACACTATACACTACTATACACTACACTATACACTACTATACACTACACTACTATACACTATACACCACTACACTGCTATACATTGCTTGGCAGTGAAGGGATGGTCTGGTTTTGCCGTGCCTCGACCACCTTGGCGTTACCCAGCATCACCCTTCGTGAGCCTCGCACTCACCGATGACGCGTCCAGTGAGTCGCCTTTTGTCACCAAATGGTATATAATAGTTTACAACAACAAAAAATGTCAGGACGCAAACGTAATAACTTAACATTTAATTGTAACAACAACAATCACCCGAGTTACAGGGAACGGGCACGACGCTGTGCGCCGACAAGGATGATCCGCGCAGTCGCCTCTGCCGGGCAAACCGATCGCCACTTGGCCACACGTACAACGTCTATCGAGACGCATGACCATTGTTACCTTTCTAAAATTCGACATCGAAAATAGCTGCCGTGGTGTGACGCACGGCGCGCGCACTGGACTTGCCATCACGAGGATCGGCGGGTTTGATTCCATCTCCAGGCGCGCGCGAGTTAAATCAATGGGGGCACTTTTCTTAAGGGGCCGTCCATAAATGACGTCACGCGATTTTGGACGATTTTTTACCCCCCCCCCCATCGTCACAAAAAGTCAGATCCACCCTCAAATATGACGTCACAAAGCTCTGCCCCCCCCCTAAAAACAAAAACATGCTTCAAATCGCTTTAAACTATTGTCATTGTAGTGCGTATTTAATGTGGTGCTGCACTCTGATGTTGTAGGAGAAAACATTTATTAAAACGTCTATTTAATTAAGTAGAACGTGTTTTCTATATTTGTTTAAAGTTGCGCATTTTGATGTGACGTCACATTTCTCAACCCCCCCCCCTCGTCACATATCGTCACAAATGTCTGACCCCCCCCCCCCAGGTGCGTGACGTCATTTATGGACGGCCCCTAAACCCCCTCCCGCTTCTGTCCACCGAGTGGTATGGATGGTTACAGGGCGCGTGTGGTGGGGTAATGTGTGGGCGCGCCCACATCTTCCAGCTAGAATTATACTGAAAACCTCTGATGGCACTCCCCAAAACACGCGGTTTCACCACCCTGGGTAGAACAAAGACAGAGCAACGCAGCTCTCCTCGACCACAGCCTGCATCGTCCCTCGGGCACGCTGGGCCCGCTGTGCCCCTGGCAGTTCTAGAGCCGCGATGCGAGAAAAAACCAAACGAGAACCGTCCCCTTGTTCGTCGCGAAGAGTTATAAATAATCTCCCCTAGGCCAGCCACAGGGGGTGAAGCGAGGGGGGAGGTGGGGGCAGACTCCCTAGGGTCCCTGTTTGTGCGGCAAGTGTCGCTGCAGCGAGGACAAGACGCTGGCGAAGGGCCCTCCGAGGGGCTCCGGGACCCTCGGCGGGGGCCCTGCCCACGCCAGTGACTGCGGTCTGGGGCTCCCAGCAGACGAGGTCGCCGGCGTGGGCACGATCCCTTGGCTAAGCTCGCACGCCGCGGGCCCCGCGCCGGGCCCCGCGCCGGGCCCCGCGCTGGGCCCCGTGCTGTCCGGCACCGGCGCTTTGGCCTCCCTGATCCCCGCTCCGGCCGCGTCGGGCTCCTCGCCTCCCGGTGTGCGCGCCCCGTGCTGCGCGCCGCCTTTGGCCGCCGCGGCTGCGCGCTCTTGCTTGCGGAACTTTGCGCGGCGGTTCTGGAACCAAACCTGGGACGGAGGGAACGATGCGCAACAACTAAGTCACCAACGGCACGAGCTCGCACAAGCCACACCGCACAACGAGCACACGACAGTAACAGGCGCCATTCGCCGCTAAGTAGCGGTGAAGTCACTTGCGCCAGGCTAGGTGAACTTTGAGGTCACGTGAAGTGTCGAAGGCTCGTTGACACAAGGTCACGGGGGAGACCCAGGTGTTATGGGTTGACTGATATGACTGGCAGATGCAACACCTGTGCTCCCCACAGCACAAAATCCCTGCCCTTTAGCCACCCGGCCCTCCACCCGCTATTTTGAGCGTCGCGCCTCCGTTCTGCATTGTTGGAGGGTGACTGCCTCCAACCTTCTGTAACTGCATCAGCCTATCTCTTCTCTAGCCCATGCCGCCACTCGTTCTGTGGGGGCAAACAATCTGCTTGGGCATGTTGTGGAGGGGCCTGTGGGCTACATCACCCAGCCAACGCAGGCTCGCCTGCTGGAAGAGCTCACTGATGAATGAGTGTCCAGATCTTTTTAAGATCTTAGAGATTCTCACACAATCTAGCCTGGTTAAACCAAGGATGGATCGTAGGCAGATCAGCCTAAATGTTTCAAACCAATGTAAATGACCCATCAGAGGGGTCCACGTGTCGCAAGCATAGAGACGAGAGAGAGCATAACTGTGGCCGAGAAGACCAAAAGCTTCAAGCAGAGTGACAGGCTAGCAAGCTTCCACATCGTTACACAGCAAGAAATACAAATACAAAGAACCCCGTATAGCCTTGATATACTGTTGGGGCAAGTGCTGTTAGTGAGCACCTATGAAGGCCAGCACGGCACTGGTGTTGGCCGTGAGCGGGAATCGAACTCTAGCGACCAGGTTTGCAGCGCAGCGCGTTTACCACGACGCCACCGCTCCCCACACAAACAGGTACAGATACATACACACACAGGTACACACACAGGCACACAAGACAAAGATCCCCCGTATAGCCTGAACAGACTGTTGGGGCAAGTGCTGTTAGTGAGCACCTATGAAGGCCGGCACGGCACACGAGTGATGATGTTTACTACACACCGCACCAGGTACTCATTTGAGGCCGAATCGATCTAGGGCAGGCCTAGGACCGGTTCACATAATCGTCACCGGTGTTGGCCGTGATCAGAATTCGAACTCGGGTGGCCGGGTTCGTAGCGCAGCGCGCTAACCGCTACACCACCGCTCCCCACAGGTACAAACAAAGACAAAGATCCCCGTATAGCCTGTAACAGGCTGGTGGGGCAAGTGCTGTTATCGAGCACCTCCCACAGGAACACACACGAGCGAGTATGCTGTGTCAACCTAAGCGGGACTCCACTACGGCACGACAACCACAAGCTGGCGGTTGATTGTGAAGGTGTTGTGCTGACGTTCCTGTCGGTCTTGAGATGGTGGTGGTGTTGAGCATAGGTGGTGCTGGTGTTGAGTATAGGTGGTGGTGGTGGTGTTGAGTATAGGTGGTGCTGGTGTTGAGTATAGGTGGTGGTGGTGTTGAGTGCTGGTGGTCGTGTTGAGTATAGGTGCTGGTGTTGAGTATAGGTGATGGTGATGCTGGTGTTGAGGTGGTAGTGGTGGTGTTTGTGTTGAGGTGGTAGTGGTGGTGTTGAGGTGGTAGTGGTGATGGAGGTGGTAGTGGTGTTTGTGTTGAAGTGGTAGTGGTGTCGAGGTGGTAGTGGTGGGGTGGTCTTGAGGTGGTAATTGTGGTAGTGGTGGTGGTGGTGGTGTTGAGGTAATAGTAGGGGTGGTGTCGAGGTGGTAATGGTGGTGGAGGTGCTAGTGTTGGTGGTGTTGGGGTGGTATTGGTGGTGGTGTTGATGTGGTATTGGTGTTGAGGTGGTAGTGGTGGGGTAGTGTTGAGGTGGTAGTGGTGGGGTGGTCTTGAGGTGGTAATTGTGGTAGTGGTGGTGGTGGTGTTGAGGTAATAGTAGGGGTGGTGTCGAGGTGGTAATGGTGGTGGAGGTGCTAGTGTTGGTGGTGTTGGGGTGGTATTGGTGGTGGTGTTGATGTGGTATTGGTGTTGAGGTGGTAGTGGTGGGGTAGTGTTGAGGTGGTAGTGGTGGGGTGGTCTTGAGGTGGTAATTGTGGTAGTGGTGGTGGTGGTGTTGAGGTAATAGTAGGGGTGGTGTCGAGGTGGTAATGGTGGTGGAGGTGCTAGTGTTGGTGGTGTTGGGGTGGTATTGGTGGTGGTGTTGATGTGGTATTGGTGTTGAGGTGGTAGTGGTGGGGTAGTGTCGAGGTGGTAGTGGTGGGGTGGTGTTGAGGTGGTAGTAGTAGTTGTGGTGATGTTGAGGAGGTGGTAGTAGTAGTTGTGGTGGTAGCAGCGTGCCCATCCAGCCTGCCCCACCTGCACGCGCGCCTCCGTGAGGTCTATGCCGAGCGCGAGCTCCTCCCGTGTGTAGATGTCGGGGTAGTGAGTCTCGGCGAACACGCGCTCCAGCTCGCGCAGCTGCGCGCTCGTGAACGTCGTGCGGATGCGGCGCTGCTTCCGCTTCTCGGCCAAAGATCCCGGCTCCCCGAACAACTTGTAGGGGACTGGTTGGGGTGGGGGGGGGGGCACGCGAGACAACCCGTCAGACTGGAGACAACGGGCAAGGAGACCGCTTGTCGGGAGTGAACACGCGGGGAAGTAGCCACAGACGTGGAATTGCATCAACTCCTGCGCAACTGGACGCTCGTGCATGGCACCCACGTGCCGGCCTGAGAGGCGTCACCATCTGGGTTGGGGGTGGGGGCAGAGCTACAACCACGCGCGATCCGTGCCAAGGGTGGGAAAACCCCGATTTTTGTTGGCAAATTTTATTGGGGTTATTGGTTTTATTTTTTAAAATAAACCCGATTTTGTCGAAAAAATACATGGTTTTAATCCGGCAAGTCAAGTTGTCGTCTATCGGCGCCAGAGTCATTGGATTCGCTGTCCTCTGCGATCATCTCAGCCACGCCGTCGAAGAAGGCGTGTGCATGTTGCTCTTGATGAAGACGACGAGCTTCTCCACCGACTTCACGCTCGGGCTGTTCCTCAGCTTGGAGTGAACGAAGGCCGTGGTGGAGAAGTTCCTCTCGGATGCGGCGCTGGACGTGGCGATGCTGGACAGCTTGACGGCGCGATCTTTTGCAGCTCGGGCCACTCACTTCCATAGGACAGCCAGGACTCCATCGGCGTCTTGCGACCTTTCACCATCATCTTGTAGCGCGACGTGCTGTTTGTCTTCTCTTTGGTGGGGGCTATAATTATAGGGATTAACAGGCAATAAAACCGAATAAAACCGGATGTTTGGCCATCGGAGATGATCGGATTTTTTTTATTAAAACCATGAAAAACCCGATGCTGCCAGCCTTGGTCCGTGCTGATTCGGGGGTTCCCCCACCCACCCAACACCCAAAGCCACCGAGAATAGAAATGAGTCAAGCATCCCCATCACGAACTCGCTCATTGCAAACCTCTTGAGACTGCTCAGGCCTGGAGGTGTCAAGGGCAAGGAACGAGCAGGAGGCGGCGTGGAGAATAGCGCGGCAGAGACAGAAAGAGAGGGGGGTGGGGTAGAGGGCGAGGTGAGGAGAGGGGCTCAGGTGGGCAGAGCGGCGCAGGTGGAGAGAGGTGTGCAGGTGAAGCTCGCGGGTTTGTCTCGGTGAATGTCCCGTGCGGAGGCGCCCGGGAAGAACGCGGTGCCTGACCGATCTAATTAACCGTGCAACTATTAGATTCCTCGGTTTAATTTGGCGGTTAAGTAGCGGGATTAAGTGTGTCGTATATACCGTGTGCGCTCCTCCCATCGTGCCGTTTGCCAGCCGCGCAGCACGAAAGGTATTCGCTTGCTCTCGCTAGCTCGATTTGCGGGCAGCGGCTTCGAGACGATTGTTGCCGCGGTTGGGCGAAGGGCGGCGCTTCAAAGCGGCGAGGAGCGTGGGGCTGGTGGGGGAGCGCACGGTGGCCTGGGCTCCGCATTCTGGACGGATAAGGACCTGGTCTAGTGTCATAGCGAGTGGTGGTGTCTGTGCTAGTGGTGTGGTCAGTGTAAGTGGTGGGGTCAATGCTAGTGGTGGGGTCAGTGTTAATGGTGGGGTCAGTGTAGTGGTGATAGTGGTGCGGTCAGTGATAGTGGTGGGGTTAGTGCGAATGGTGGGGTCAGTGTGAGTGGTGGGGTCAGTACTAGTGGTGGGGTCAGTGTGAGTGGTGGGGTCAGTGCTAGTGGTGGGGTCAGTGCTAGTGGTGGGGTCAGTGTGAGTGGTGGTGTAAGTGGTGGGGTCAGTGTGAATGGTGGGGTCAGTGTGAGTGGTGGTGTAAGTGGTGGGGTCAGTGTGAGTGGTGGGGTCAGTGTGAGTGGTGGTGTAAGTGGTGGGGTTAGTGCGAGTGGTGGGGTCAGTGTGAGTGGTGGGGTCAGTACTAGTGGTGGGGTCAGTGTGAGTGGTGGTTTTAGTGGTGGGGTCAGAGTTAGTAGTTGGGTCAGTGCTCGTGTTGGGATCATTCCTAATGGTGGGATCAGTGCTCGTGTTGGGATCATTCCTAATGGTGGGATCAGTGCTAGTGGTGGGGTCAGTATTAGTGGTGGAATCAGTGCTAATGGTGGGGTCAGTGTGAGCGGTTGGATCAGAGCTAGTGGTGGGGTCAGTGTTAGTGGTGGGATCAATGTTAGTCGTAGGGTCAGTGCTAGTCGTAGGGTCAGTGTACGTGGTGGGGTCAGAGTTAGTAGTGTGGGTCAGGGTTAGTGGTGGGGTCAGTGTGAGTGATGGAGTCATTGTTAGTGGTGAGGTCAGTGTGAGAGGTGGTGTTAATGGTGGAGTCAGTGTAGGTAGTGGGGTCGGTGTGAGTGGCAGGGTCAGTGTTAATGATAGGGTCAGTGTTAGTGGTGGCGTCAGTGTTAGTGATAGGGTCAGTGTTAGTGGTGGGATCAGTGTTAGTCGTGGGGTCAGAGTTAGTGGTGGGGTCAGTGTAAGCGGTGGTGAGATCACTGCTAGTGGTGGGGTCACTGCTAGTGGTGGGGTCAGTGCGAGTAGTGGGGTCAGTGTTAGTGGTGAGGTCAGTATTAGTGGAGGGGTTAGTGTTAGTCGTGGGGTCAGTGTTAGTGGTGGGATCAGTGTTAGTGGTGAGGTCAGTACTAGTGGTGGGATCAGTGTTAGTCGTGGGGTCAGTGTTAGTGGTGAGGTCAGTGTTAGTGGTGAGGTCAGTACTAGTGGTGGGATCAGTGTTAGTCGTGGGGTCAGTGTTAGTGGTGAGGTCAGTATTAGTGGTGTGGTTAGTGTTAGTCGTGGGGTCAGTGTTAGTGGTGGGATCAGTGTTAGTCGTGGGGTCAGTGCTAGTGGTGGGGTCAGTATTAGTGGTGTGGTTAGTGTTAGTCGTGGGGTCAGTGTTAGTGGTGGGATCAGTGTTAGTCGTGGGGTCAGTGCTAGTGGTGAGGTCAGTATTAGTGGTGTGGTTAGTGTTAGTCGTGGGGTCAGTGTTAGTGGTGAGGTCAGTGTTAGTGGTGGGATCAGTGTTAGTCGTGGGGTCAGTGTTAGTGGTGAGGTCAGTATTAGTGGTGGGGTCAGTGCTAGTGGTGGGGTCAGTATTAGTGGTGGGGTCAGTGTTAGTCGTGGGGTCAGTGTGAGTGGTGCGATCAGTACTAATGGTAAGGTCAGTGTAAGCAGTGGTGAGATCAGTGTTAGTGTTGGGGTCACTGTTAGTGGTGGGGTCAGTGCGAGTAGTGGGGTCAGTGCTAGTGTTGGGGTCACTGCTAGTGGTGGGGTCACTGCTAGTGGTCGGGTCAGTGTAAGTGGTTGGGTCAGTGTGAGTGGTGGTGTTAGTGGTGGGGTCAGAGTTAATGGTGGGATCAGTATTAGTGGTGAGGTCACTGCTAGTGGTGAGGTCACTGCTAGTAGTGCGGTCAGTGTAAGTGGTTGGGTCAGTGTGAGTGGTCGTGTTATTGGTGGGGTCAGTGTAAGCGGTGGGATCAGTCTACGTGGTGGAGGTCAGTGCTAGTGGTGGACATTAACCAGGACGAGCGCGTTCTTACCCGAGCTGTAGGTGGGCGTGAGCGACTCACGCAGCGCGCCCATGCCTGGTCCCCACGCCGTCCTCAGCGGCGGGTACTGGAACCCGCCGGGCTGCGCGCACGGACTCAAGTCGACGTACGCGGACGGGAGCCCCGCGGAGTCCACGCCGCTGTGAATCGGCGCGTCGTAGCCGGCGCTGCTGTGGAGGAACGGGTAATCCATGGCGAACATGTGTGCACCACCACCACCACCGCCAGCAGCAGCAGCAGCACGCCGGGAACGCGCCGTGCCGAGACGCGGAGCGCGTGGCACCCGCTCGCGCCGCGCGCTTTAAATGGCCCGCGGTGACGTGACGTCACCGCTCAGGGAGGCCCTCCTCCTCCTGCTGCTGCTGCTGTTCATTCCCCCTCCAACCTCTCCATCTTCAACTCTACACTCTCAACTCACCACTCTCTACCCTCACTTTCGATTCGCCACTACCACCCACAACTCGCCACTCTCCACTCGAACCACTCTCAATTCACCACTCTCCACCCTCAACTCACCAATCTCTGCCCTCAACTCACCACTATCCACTCTCCACTCTCAATTCACCACTCTTCACTCTCGAGCGTCAACTCACCACGATCCACCCTCAACTCTCAACTCACCACTCTCCACTCTCAACTCACCACTCTTCACTCTCGACCGTCAACTCACCACCCTCAACTCTCAACTCACCACGATCCACCCTCAACTCACCACTCTTCACTCTCGAGCGTCAACTCACCACCCTCAACTCTCAACTCACCACTATCCACTCTCAACTCACCACTCTTCACTCTCGAGCGTCAACTCACCACCCTCAACTCTCAACTCACCACTCCGCACTCTCAATTCACCACGATCCACCCTCAACTCACCTCTCTCCACTCTCCATCTTCAACTCACCACTCTGCGCCCTCAACCCACCACCTCTCCACCTCTGTAACCTTTAAATCGCCGTCCTTCACTCAGCATCAAATCTTACCACCATTCGTCTCCATTCTCAACTCAACCCCCGTCCCCTTCCACTATCTACGCAGACTCGTGCTCCCTGCGTGGCTGGGAAGCTTTGCGATGGAGGAGCTCGCTGGGAAGGTTGCGATGATCGGCCAGAAAGTGCAGAGTTTTTCTTTTTAAACGAGGATGGTTCTCTCTGTGAATTGTAAGTGCCTGGAAGGACGCCTCGTGACGGATTCGTTCATTCTCGCGCTTCGCTACCGTCAGCTTCGTTTCGCCCTTCAACCTCGATACAAATCAAACACAGGACTGATTAAGAACGAGGATGCGGCGTAGGGGCTTTTACAATTCCACTGAAACCTAAACATTTATAATGTCTTCACTTGGCTCCCATGAGCCTTGATTGAAACCCACTTAAACTTTATAATTTTGTATATGCCGTCAGTTTCTGTGTTTTGAGTATGTTCGCTTCAATGTAAGAAAACAGACACACAGAATGACACGTGAAATGTATCAAAATTAATTGTGATTAAATACAATTGTCACCATTGACAGTGTATTGAGAGTCTACCTCTGTCACCTATTGTGGTTCCATCTTTCCCCTCCAGGGCTACATTTGTAAATTGTTTCCATGCTGCCATCACTTGTGGTGACACCTGCAATCTTTTTGTTGCCACTGCTCTCCGATATTTTCTCACTGTTTTCCTGCTCGCTTACAGAATCGTGCATTTAAACGTTGGTTCAGCATCTCCATCTCTTTACCTATCTCCTCTTCCTCAACTTGCTGTGTGCTTTCTAACCTTTCCTCCCACTTTAAACTCATTATCCGTTCAAAATCAACGTGTCATCGTCGTGACCAAAAGCCGGCGATGTCACCACCACCACTCATCGCCACTCATCGCCAACGCATTCTCCCACTCCGCCAGATCGCCCCGCAGCTGCACGGGAGTGGCAGCGGCCTCCGAGATCTGCCCCTCACGGCCCCCCCGTGTCTTCTCTCCCTGATGGCCCCCCAGTGGCTGCTCTCCCTGATGGCCCCCCAGTGTCTGCTCTCCCTGACGGCCCCCCAGTGGCTGCTCTCCCTGACGGCCCCCCAGTGTCTGCTCTCCCTGATGGCCCCCCAGTGTCTGCTCTCCCTGACGGCCCCCCTGCGTCTGCTCTCCCTGACGGCCCCCCAGTGTCTGCTCTCCCTGATGGGCCCCCAGTGTCTGCTCTCCCTGACGGCCCCCCTGCGTCTGCTCTCCCTGATGGCCCCCCTGCGTCTGCTCTCCCTGATGGCCCCCCTGTGTCTGCTCTCCCTGACGGACCCCCAGTATCTGCTCTCCCTGACGGCCCCCCAGTGTCTTCTCTCCCTGATGGCCCCCCAGTGTCTTCTCTCCCTGATGGCCCCCCTGCGTCTGCTCTCCTTGACGGACCCCCAGTATCTGCTCTCCCTGATGGCCCCCCAGTGTCTGCTCTCCCTGATGGCCCCCCAGTGTCTGCTCTCCCTGACGGCCCCCCAGTGTCTGCTCTCCCTGATGGCCCCCCAGTGTCTGCTCTCCCTGACGGCCCCCCAGTGTCTGCTCTCCCTGATGGCCTCCCAGCGTCTTCTCTCCCTGATGGCCCCCCAGTGTCTGCTCTCCCCGACGGCCCCCCAGTGTCTTCCCTGATGGCCCCCCAGTGTCTGCTCTCCCTGATGGCCCCCCAGTGTCTGCTCTCCCTGACAGCCCCCCAGTGTCTGCTCTCCCTGGCGGCCCCCCAGTGTCTGCTCTCCCTGGCGGCCCCCCAGTGTCTGCTCTTCCTGGCGGCCCCCCAGTGTCTTCTCTCCCTGACGGCCCCCCAGTGTCTTCTCTCCCTGACGGCCCCCCAGTGTCTTCTCTCCCTGACGGCCCCCCAGTGTCTGCTCTTCCTGGCGGCCCCCCAGTGTCTTCTCTCCCTGACAGCCCCCCAGTGTCTGCTCTCCCTGGCGGCCCCCCAGTGTCTGCTCTTCCTGGCAGCCCCCCAGTGTCTTCTCTCCCTGACGGCCCCCCAGTGTCTGCTCTTCCTGGCGGCCCCCCAGTGTCTGCTCTTCCTGACGGCCCCCCAGTGTCTTCTCTCCCTGACGGTCCCCCAGTGTCTGCTCTCCCTGACGGCCCCCCAGTGTCTGCTCTCCCTGGCGGCCCCCCAGTGTCTGCTCTCCCTGACGGTCCCCCAGTGTCTGCTCTCCCTGGCGGCCCCCCAGTGTCTGCTCTCCCTGACGGCCCCCCAGTGTCTTCTCTCCCTGACGGCCCCCCAGTGTCTGCTCTCCCTGGCGGCCCCCCAGTGTCTTCTCTCCCTGACGGCCCCCCAGTGTCTGCTCTTCCTGGCGGCCCCCCAGTGTCTTCTCTCCCTGACAGCCCCCCAGTGTCTGCTCTCCCTGGCGGCCCCCCAGTGTCTGCTCTTCCTGGCGGCCCCCCAGTGTCTTCTCTCCCTGACAGCCCCCCAGTGTCTGCTCTCCCTGGCGGCCCCCCAGTGTCTTCTCTCCCTGACGGTCCCCCAGTGTCTGCTCTTCCTGGCGGCCCCCCAGTGTCTGCTCTTCCTGACGGCCCCCCAGTGTCTTCTCTCCCTGGCGGCCCCCCAGTGTCTTCTCTCCCTGACGGCCCCCCAGTGTCTGCTCTCCCTGGCGGCCCCCCAGTGTCTGCTCTCCCTGACGGCCCCCCAGTGTCTGCTCTCCCTGATGGTCCCCCAGTGTCTGCTCTCCCTGACAGCCCCCCAGTGTCTGCTCTCCCTGACAGCCCCCCAGTGTCTGCTCTCCCTGGCGGCCCCCCAGTGTCTGCTCTCCCTGACGGCCCCCCAGTGTCTGCTCTCCCTGACGGCCCCCCAGTGTCTTCTCTCCCTGACAGCCCCCCAGTGTCTGCTCTCCCTGACAGCCCCCCAGTGTCTGCTCTCCCTGACGGCCCCCCAGTGTCTGCTCTCCCTGACGGCCCCCCAGTGTCTGCTCTCCCTGACGGCCCCCCAGCGTCTGCTCTCCCTGACGGCCCCACAGTGTCTGCTCTCCCTGACGGCCCCCCAGTGTCTGCTCTCCCTGACGGCCCCCCAGCGTCTGCTCTCCCTGACGGCCCCACAGTGTCTGCTCTCCCTGACGGCCCCCCAGCCTCTGCTCTCCCTGACGGCCCCCCAGCGTCTACTCTCCCTGACGGCCCACACAGTGTTTGCTCTCAGGTCTGCGCTGCCCATGGTCGCCGCACTCGCTGGGACCGCTCCGGTGCCGGCCTCGGTAACCGATCTCCCCCATTCCCACACACGCGCCCTGCCCAGCGAAGCCGTGTTTGCCTAACACCATATTTCACGAAACTCACGTGTCCTGTTTTCCACCAGACTTCTGTATGGCGTCTTCTGTCTTGCTACGAAATTCCCAACATTTGTGTCAGGCACCTACATTTCAAATCCCAATAACTTCTCTTGGAGCTGCTAGGGTCCAACTCGCTGATCTGCAGTCAAACAGATATCCTTCCACCTCATACACCCTTTCATTTACACGCAGACTCACCTCTCTTATCTTCCAAAGTGGTTTCCACAGTCCTATACCATCTCAGCCTTCACTCCTCTTACCGGGAGCGAAGTCTGTGAGGTACTACAGGAACCCCGTTTCTACCGACATCAACTTTGCTTTGGGAACACCGACGGCCCCAGCGTTTGGACTCAGTTGCCGAAGACCTCCAACAGCTGCATTGCTCCAGCCAAGGTGCTAGCCAATAAACATGCATCCTCTGCACACACATTCACCTCACCTGTGTGAATTCCCGGGTTTTCTACACCATCAACCAAATTAATGCTATTAGCGAATACAGTCACGTAGCATTAAGCATGGCAGACTGTATACGTATGTTGAACTTCTTTCGCACCGTCGGTTGCCAACCGTGCTCATCGGAGGCCGACATCGTCCTAACATCAAACTGTGCTGATGCCTCACCTTGTGTATATTTACGTGTGCGTGTGTTATCAATGTACATGACTCCGTAGCCAAGGGGTTCTAGTCTGACGCTTGGTGGACAAGGTCAATGGACCAGAGAATCTAAATGGGAAAATGGAACAAAAAGAAAACCCATTCTGGCTGGATCATTGCCCATCAGAAAAAGGACCGTATTTCCATGGCAAGTTTGCAACTGCGTTTGGAACAGTAGCAAGAGTTCTAAAATGAAGTCTGGGTTCTATAGACTGTGAGCTGGTAAATCGCCTTTGTGCGACCGTTCGATGTATGTTGATATTCTTTTGAACCCTACGTAGCAAACCGTGCTCATCGATGGCCTTTATGGGCAGGCAGCAGCTGACCACGTGCTCCGGTGTTCTGCCCCACAGTCGCAGATGTTAAAACCCCAAAGGACTATATATATCCCAATATTTACACAAACACAAAGGCAGCATTTTTCACTGATGTCTATATTTTATTTTCGTAAGAATATACAATGGCTGTGATTGGAATGAACAGTGTCAGGACATGGACACACGAACCAACAAGCATTCCTGGTGGAGCAGAGGTCTCCGCATGGCCTCTGGCATCCAGGCCAATGGGAACCCATCACCACATTCGCAAATGTAGCCCTACAACCCGACCGATGAAACAGCTGTTGACAAGACTTCAGTTGGACACGTTGTTTGCGAGACATTCGCACTTCGCCCCAGAAAGTTCCTTGATGCCGTACTACTCCTGACGCAATCATCTGACTCGACAAACTCAACATAAACACAGTTGTTGCTCTACATCAACATCAGCCATACGAAGATGTAATCACCAGCACTTTAACTTTCGTACAGAGCTCCATCGCCCAATAAGCAGAGAGCACATGCTGAGTCGTATGATGTGATCACTCGGTGGATTTCCACTTGTGTGCCTGCTGCATAGCTGAGTAGAAGCTAAAGGGGTTCCGATTAGTCTAAAAAGGTCGAATGTGATTCCCTGCTCAATTGAGCATTGAGGTGGTGCTCATCTTCTCCTTACAGCACTAAGCTAATGGTGGAAATTCGACATTTATATCCATCACTTCCCCATAAAGGAATACTCATTTTATCGCCTCCAGAGGGAGGGATAATGTACCAAGTCGACCCCCCAACGAGGATGTGAACTCGCAACCTCCCGATGCGAGCCACCCGCTCGCTCTGCCGTTGAGTGGCGTGGCCGCCGTATCGGTGGTGCAGCCTCACAGCCACGACGGCGCTGTCACCAACAGGACACGTTCTCGGGCTCCAGGGGCACGTGGACATCGAGGAGCCGTGCGCCCTCCCCACCCTCCTCAAGCAACTCCAGGCGCAGGGTGCGCGTCGCCGTTGTCGCCGCCGTCGCGCCCACACGGCCACCGGACGCCGCTCGGACTCTCAGTGCGCAGCCCCGGGGAAGCAGCCCACGCTCGAATGCGGTGGCCAGCAGTGAGACGAGCCGACGCTCCACCTGCTCGCCACACGCACACGCGCCCCGCGGTCTCGTCACGCGGCAGCGGTGGGGTCAACCGGCAGTGTGCGTGCGTGTGTGAATGAGGACGTGCGTGAGTGAGGGTGTGTGTGGGTGAGGTGCGGTAGTGTAGAAGTTAGCACGCTGCACTTTGAACCCGGTGACCCGAATTCGATTCCCACTCATGGCCTACACCAGTGACGATTATCTGTACCTCATCTGTACCGGTCCTGAGCCTTCCTAGGTCGACTCAGCCTCAAATGAGTACCTGGTGTGGTGCGTAAACATTGCCACTGGGGAGACAAAGGCGGCCGGGTGTGGTACTGGCCACCCACCCCCTTGTGTGCTGTTCTGGCCTTACCCCAACAGTCTGTTAAAGCTATACGGGGGGATCTTTGTCTTTTATGAGGGTGTGTGAGAGGGTGTGTGAATGAATGTGAGAGGGTTTGTGGGCGACTGTCAGTGTGGGAAGGTGTGCGAGTCACCCTGATTTTATTCGCTCAATAAAGCCTTTCCACCCACAACCACTACTGACGTTACTTGGCTAGGTTGGACCCCCATTTGGCGCCGTACACCCACGGCGAGGAGGACACGGGGTCTATGCCGCAAGCGACCTGCTGGGTGCGCCTCACCCCCAGCCGCATCACGTATGTCATGGCGCGAGTGTCGATATGATGAGCCACTGCCCACCCCATTTCCCCGAGTGTCCCCTGACAGGTGGAGGTGGGCTCAGGATTGAGGGCGACTGCGGTCAGCACACGAGCCTCCTTTCCCAAACTCGTGTTCATCTTGAGTTGCGTATGAGTGCCTACAAAGATCGGCAGGGCATGAGGCAGTGGGTGGCCAGCATCACGCCTGGGCCTTTTTGTATCCCGACTAGTGCAGTTTAGACACTGCACCAGGAGCTCATTTTATTCTGAGTCAACCTAGGGGAGGCCCAGGACCGGTTCAGATATTCGTCACTGACGTTGGCCGTGAGCGGGATTCAAACTCGGTGTTCCGGGTTCGTAGTGCAGCACGCTAACTGACGCGCCACCGCTCGCCACAGTGAACACACGCGCTGACACGTGCAGCAGTGGCAGCGAAGCAGCCGGTACGTCCCTGCCGGCGCGTCATTAAGACCCTGACTGTGTCGCTCACTTCCAGGCGGTGTCTGTGAGGGTGGCCTGGGGCTCATTGATCCATGCGCTCCCCATGCTTATAAAGGCAGGTTATTGCGACCACCCAATGTGTTATTTAGCCATGGCCTAGAGGCGTGCAACAAGCCCAATAGCCGCATCAATTAAAATATATTTATTAAAATTGGATTTTGCCTGAAACCAGAATATAATCAGGGAAGCCCCCGGGCTGCGACTAGGGTTGGGGTTAGCATTTTGGTTAGGGTTATAATTACGGCTATGGTTAGCATTGTGGCTATGGTTAGGGTTACAGCAATTGTTAGGGTTAGCTGTCCACTATTTACATTGCACTCAGAACTTTAGTGCCTATAACTCAACCGTATGTAGTCCCCACAGCACGTGGCCTGCCGCAGCAAGAAGAACACGGCCTGCACGCACAGCGTGACGCGCGCTCCACCGCACGTCGCAGGCTGCTGTTCACATTCAGCCGTGTACGCTCATAAGGCGTTCTCCGTTCCCTCAAAGAAAACGCTGGCCCTGATAATTCTTTATTATGAATTCTACAGAAACCCTAACCGCTAATCTGCACAGAAGTATCCAATGGGGCTGTCATTCTGAATACCATCTTTAGGGCTTCAAATTGACTTCCATTATCTTTTAACCTTGCTCAATACAACAAATGTGTTAACTCGTAGACATTACAAATGTGATGGTGCTCTTCGTTGCTGGCCGGTTGATATTTTAGGCTTTTGGACCTGTGCTCAGCATTTATGTTAAAGAACAACTTAAAAATGAGATGAATTACATGTTTTGATCGTCCCCCCCCACCCCCGCCTGACTGAAGGGGATGCACCTTACTAAAGATTAATCAGCGTACTTCAATATTTGTCCCGGTTTCAGAACCGATGGGTTATCTTTCACTGCACAAAATATTAATAAATATAAATCTTTAGGTGGGAATCTCCATTTATTTTTGCTCCAGTGGACGTGGAATGACCCGCAAACGAACGAAGTGGCCCTTGTCGCAGGTTGCAGTGCTAAAGCCTCGCAGTCTATACAAGGAGCTTTCACACCAAATAATTACAACTCCTTCATCTGTGGTTCCCAACATTTCTGCACAGGCGGACCACGGTCAACCCTCAAAACATTTTCGCAGACCACTACGCAGAAAAAAATATATTGATAACAAATATCACAACATCTGCAACGAGAACCGCAAACCGCCTCCGCAGGACCTTGCGGACCACGGCTTGAGAAGCGCCGACATCTGTTAGCGAAGCCACTGCTCTGCCACTCCCATGGCGCCGCGGCAACGACTCGGGTGGCAGCGTAGGAGCGCATGGTCACCTCGTGCTTGATGGAGCGAGCGCCGTAGTGCACGTTGTACCCCTCTGCCAGCACGTGCAGCACCTCCGCCTCCCACTGTAGATCCATGCCGTGGCGCTCGTGCGCCTGGCGCATCGCAGAGCATCGCCGTGATGGAGACCACCGAGCACAGACATCACTCAACAGAGCGGTCACTCAACACAGGAACATCACTCATCACGGAGAACGTCACTCAATGCAAAACGTCGCTCATCATTCTAAACAAGTGGCCATTGTGTGCCTGGGTCATGGTACAATTTTTCTAAATGTAAACAATTACCTGCAAATTACTCCATTGGGATTACATAGTGTAATCATTGCCCCATACTTCATACTATTGCCCACTTGCATGCCAGGGACAGCTGCCACTGAGGGTGCCCTTGGAATGTGCCCAGATGAGATGTGGTACAAGTCGCTTATCGCGTGTAAAGTGCACGGAGCCTCCCCGCCGTGATGTGTATTGTATCACAAATCATCGTCAATGTCATTAATATCACGTAAAATGGGCTATATTGTTGGCCATCGAGTTGTGGCGATGTTGCGTTACCTTGCGGGCCCACACTTTGAGCTCCCGGTCCACCAGCTGGAGCAGCTCGGCGTGCGAGAAGGGCAGGAAGTACACGATCTCGTTAATCCGACCCAGGAACTCATCCCTTCCAAAGTGCGTCTGCACCCACAGTAAGAGCCGGGCGCACGCACGCACACACACACACTCGTGCTGGCACGTGGCGCCTGTCGGGCTCACGTCAAGCATTCTGATTGCAATGCCAATCGGTGTTTGATGGAGCATCCTGTATCCCGGTGCATCTCAGAGTGCTTGATATATGGCAAACGACTTAAATTAAATCATCGCGACACACTTTAAAGGGCACTGTGAAGCAAACGGCGTATAATTTTAAGGTGCATACATCCGCAGTAATAACCAGGAAGGCCTGCCTAATTCGAACTGCGAACCTCTGCAATGAGCAGTAATCGCTTATGACTGGGCCATTTCACCAAGCATGGACACGTTAGTTTTCAAGTTTTTCCAAATAAAATATATTATGATGCAAATGAACATCATCGGAACTCTCGGAAAATGTTTCTCCGTCTAGCCTTTAGAGACTACATGGGGTGTTTGTGAGCACTTATCAAAGCAGGCACACCACGCACGACGAACAGCCTGTGTTGTAAAGCATCGCTAATGTTGACCCACTCTATACCCGAGTCAACCTCAAGGTGATGGTTGTTTAACGGTAACCAGTTCTGAAAGTCAAGAGGCGGTCGCCGTTTCCAGTGGAACTTTTTGATGAATGCACTCATTTTAATAAGTTTCGATCACTGCGACAGGAGACAGAATTGAACTGGCAACCTCTGGATGGCAAGTCCAACGTGCTGACAATTAGTCCTCAAATAAAAAGGAAATGTTACGTTTGTTTCTGTATGTGTGGCAAAAACCGGTAACCATTGTTTTTCATGGTTTCTTTCATGCGGCCACTGGTAATGTAAAATAACAAATAGTATGCACAACTATAGCTTAGGCCGTGGTAACATAAAGCAGAAAGCACACTACTGATTTTCCAAAAAACACCGCGAATCAACCGGCACAGGTCAACACACACAGCACCTTAAGTATGGGCCGGATGACATCCTCCTTGAAACTTCTGGAAATGGTTACTTGATTTGAGGCCGGTGTCTCTTCTGCACACAACCACACGCGAACACGCACACTCATGTCTTATGTTTGAAGTGGCCCTTGCGCCTGTAATGTGTGGGCACAGCCCAATCCAGGAGATGGACATCGCTCAATCTTTCACCACCCACTCACCACACTGCAGGTCACAACGCTTCTCTTTCTGATTATTTCCTCGCATTGCTCCACTTTGGAATTCACCCCCATTGTCTCTTCCCCCCCAAGCGCTCATAGTAACCTTGCTCAATTCAAGAAACGTGTTAAATATTACTCGTGCCAACCCTAACCATAAGTCTCACCGAGGCTGGAGTTGTTCTGCGCAACATGTGCCTGCCTGTTCCACCTCTCTGCGCAGCGCCAGCGCGTGCTCTGCGATTTCCTCATTCCCAAGGTTGGAGGTCATGATGAACACGGCATCTGGGCAGGCCACAGTGTGGCCTTTGCCGTCTGTCAGTCGTCCCTAGAACAACAGACGCAGCGCAGTCACCACTCACGCCCGAGAGCGGCATGCGCGAGACATTCGCCGCGGCCAACGCGGCACGATGACGACCGTGCGCTCGGGGGCCAGGGTGGCGTCCGGTCGCTCCTCACCACCGGGGCATCACCTCTCCCACGCCACCGCGCTCCCTTCCCCCATCGCGCAAGCTCGCACGCACGCACGCACGCACACGGGGAAGACTTCGCCGCGATTGCTAAGGGACAGCACAGAGTGAAATTGTGAATAAATGAAAAGTGCGGATAATGAAATAAAGTTCGCTGTAATAAAATAAAGGGATCTAAAAACGCTCAAAAGATAGATATTTTGTGCAGGATCGCTTTGAGCGAGGTGGGGCCTCTGGCAGCTCGGCCCCCTCAGCCCTTGTACTTTCTCCCTCTAGCCCATCTGTCTCTGTCCATCGTAATCGAATCAACCAGGCGGGCCAAGTGCAAGCACATCTTGGGATACCTCTATGATGCAGAGCAAGCGGAGAGGTGTGAGGCAGCGCGTGTGTGTGTGCATATGCGGTGTCGGCTGATAATGTATGGCTGCTGTCATAACCGCACGCGGGTAATCGCATTAAGCCATTGCAGATGGATGCCAGCATTCTAGGCGCGCCTCGTCTCTGCGTCCCCGCCGCGCCCGCTAATTTGCCGTGATCGCCACCCTCCGACCCCCTTGTCTCTCTCTCCTCCCTGGTGCCCCCCCCCCCAATAAAATCATCACCCACCCCACCCCCCGAGTGTAAATCTTTTCTGAAGAGTGGCAGGGTTACAGATGAGCGGAAGATGACACAAATGGGTTTTGAAAGACCCTCCCAATACCCGACACAGCCAAATAAAATTGCCACGTGTACAAGCGTTTAACGTAGCAATTATTACATCGTGCCTCGCTGGGAATTTGAAGAATAATTCTCACAACCAAATACAGCAGTTGATATACGAGAAGTTTCGCTTGAAACTGCGCCAAACACCTTCAGGAAAATCCAGTAAGTCATAACTCTAACAATGAGGGTCTTTCTGCACAAATTTGGCCAGATAAATTTGTGGCTTAACGCAAACATCTATTTTAAAAATGATAACATTGACTGCAAAAACCTCCACGTTGAGATTGTATATTTAAACATTGGCAGGCAAATCCACCTGAGAACATGTCCGCACACACGTGGGTGTATGTATATTCAACTTGAACACAAATGTGTGTGCACATAAGCTATAAAGACAAAGATTCCCCGTATGGCCATAGCGACTGTTGGGGCAAGTGCTGTGAGCAAGTAGCACCTATGAAGGCCAGCACTGCGCATGAGGGGGTGGTGCTATTATAACTTCGTCCGACCGCCTTTGTCTCCCCAGTGGTGATGTTTACACATCGCACCACTGATATTGGTTCAGGACTGGTTCAGATTTTCATCACTGATATTGGCCATGAGATGGAATCAACCTCGGTTTTCTGGATACGCAGCGCAGCGCGCTAACCACTGCATCGCCGCTCCCCATAACCTACACGCACATTTTATGCGTACGCTTACACATACAGCTGCACGGACAAACACCCGCATGCTCAGATGCCAGCACACCTCTACGCATACACACCCGCGTAACATTGCGAGCCTGCTGCATGCACCTGACGGTCCATAATTGCTGTGCCACAAATGAGATTAGCTAATGATCATTTCAGTGAGGCAATACATCATTCTGTTTGCTCAGCACCGGTCTGGGACACTGCATGAACATCATTTCTTTCCACTCATCCACAGAGCTCACGCCGTGATTGTAGAGTAACCAATAACCATGCGTCTACACTTACAGATACTTCTCAGTTTGATGGAGGAACCACATTTACAAAGATATTCATTCAACCATTCATAATGTGTTCTCAGTATTAATCCCAGCACATAAAAAAACATGAAACAGAATTACAATCCTAGTTTCCATTGATAATCGTCTCAGCGGAGAGGGAGGAGGTGAGGACTAATAACTTAAGCAAACAGGGCCCATCTGGCTGCTGGTCAATGGAGAGTGCAAAGACGATACAGACACGTTACATGTGGATGCACGAGCAAACAGAAACAGCTATAGGCGCGCACGCACACACGCACGCACACACTCGGACACAGACAAGCAAACACATGGACATTCGTAACTGTAAACACAAGGGCGCACCACACAGGCACCAGAAGGGATCAAACCCGGGTGCGGATTCTGGGAAGCTTTCGAGCAAGTGCCATAACAACCAGCAACAAGCCAGCCTCCCCCAGCGTACCTAGTGCCACCAACGACACGGGCGTCAGTACGAAGAACACGTTCAATGTACCAGCTTTCATTGATACCAACTGTTCTTGGGGCACTGCTTCGAGGCGGGGAGAAGCCTTGTAGACCTGAGTAGCTATGCTGGATAAGGGGCACCCATACCAGTCAGGTACTCAGCGATAGGCGAGACAAAATACGTTGCCATCACCAGCTCACACTGACCAGTGTAGTGAAGTATGGTTAACTGACTCTCAGATAAGAAGGTTAACAGATGTCAGACTGCCTTTTGCAGCGCTGAAAGCTGCTGGACCAGACGTAACAGCTGCCGACGTCATGAAAGTGTGAGCAAATGCTGAAACAAAGGTAGCCAACTCGTTCGTAAAATGTTTACTCGGTAATGAAATACTGCTATCAGGCAATGATGCCTCATTTTTCTATTCCAAAATTATTAAACAACTGAACTACAAAACCGTTGGCCTCTTATTGAACATATATATATTGTAAAAATGTTTACGAACATCATTGGGAGCAGAATAATAAACAGATTAAAGGCTAGTCAAGCACAGAAGCATGTAGGGTTTAGGAAAGGTTTCTCTACCATCTACCACATACCATTCTGCCTCATCCCTGTAGACTATGACAAATCATTCGCCTCAGTAAACACTGATGCAGTCATCTACGCTCTCATAAACCAAGGCCTATATAAACAAATATTTGTAAAAATAAATATCCATTTACAAAAACAGAACATGCACACTGTTGAATACAAAACTACACATTACCAAGGGAGCCAGACAAGGTGACACCTTACACTAAACCTAGATCTTTTCCGAAAATGTAATTAAAGAAATACAGGCATAAATGCGAACAGCTCATGAACCATCTAGATTGAATTACGTTGGTATAATAATGAAGTTCAACAAACATGCATGTATGTTGAACTTCTTTCGCACCATACATAGCCAACCGTACTCATCGGAGGTGCGGGGGATGGGCAAAAAACTAAACACACAAAAGCAGTTCTAGAGAAATGTACCAATAAGTTCACTCGACAGTCGGAGACGTCTGTCGGAGAGACACAACAGGAGGACAGCAAAATATGTGAGCCTGAGACAGCTATAAAATAAATAGGTGGACCGGTCCGGACTAGAGTGATTTTGGAAAACCTAAACTTGACAAAGAAAAGCAACGTGCCTAAAAAAAAAGAGTTTTCAATCAGTGCGTGCCACCTGCTATGGCATATCGATTAGAAACGTGGTTCGCAAAAATTAAAGAACACAAAACTGAAAGTGTGCAAACAAGCATGAAGAGAGACGTGCTTGGAATTACAATGAGAGAGAGAGAACAAGAAACACGTTGATTAGAGGAGAGAATATTGAGGTTAATGACTTATTATAAACTATTACGAGGAGTGGGCTCAAGCAGGACACGTCGCTCTCAGTGACAATGGCCAAGGGTCGAGAACAATAACGGAGCGGCAGCCACGGAGGGCAGCAGATCCCAGAGGACATCCGCCCCTTGGTGGACTGGGATCTGCTGCGATGAGGTTGGCTCGCGTGCAGGTGCTGGGCGGGGCATTACACCGCACGATTGTGAGAGGTGGCGGTGACTCGCGGAGGCCTTCATCCAGCAGTGGATTGAACATGGCTTACGATTATGATGAATCGGTAAGCATAAGGTACAACTGCAGGGTAATTACTTCATAACAGACATCGTAACAATATTGCAAACACCACACCTAACCTCCTGCTGAGAATAGCGCCAACGGTGCGACCATTAAGCGGTAACCACACTGCGTAGGTCCCATCAGTTTAGGATGTTGCGAGTGGGTGTGCACATGTACATGGTGAAGAGTTTGTGTGCGGGGATGCCTGTCCCTAATGGGTGTCGCATCACGCTTTGATTAGGGTAACGACTGGCGACGTGCCGTTATTGGCGAGTGCTAATCCGGGCCACCACGTGGCCCCTCAGCACTGCTGGCAATATTGCCTCTTCCAACGATGCAATTACAACCGCTCTCTCTCTATCCGCGGCCCATCCCCCTACATCTCTTCGTCTGCACCCTCACCAGGCCGGCAGCGATCGCTTCACAACTGTCTTGTGCAGCGAGGTCAAGCCACGAACCGCACTGCGCTCAACAACGCAGAGCGACCCGACCATTCCTGCGTCCTGGGATGACACACTATATAACGCAACACCACGCACACCAAAGCTACACGTTACGCTAAGGTCGCGCTATGTACGTATGTTGAACTTCTTTTTCACCGTACGTAGCCAACAGTGCTAATCGGAGGTGCTGTGAAGAAGGGCCAGTGTTAGAAATGAACGTGTTCCGTTTTTGTTGTTTGTACTTGTGTACCACTGCCAACGCCGTACATTTTCACCGAATAATTCGTCTATTTTATATCACTTTACGAATACTGAAGTTGCTGGGATAATATTTATTTGACATACAAGCCTTTTTCAACTTGCACATACTGTACTCTAAGCAATGCGTACAGAAATTACCCCAAAGCAACTTTTCGATGGCAGTGTATGCAATGTGAAAATTGCACGAAAAAGACCCAATGAATTTGACTGTAACCCAGTAAGGGAGGACTAAGCCGGCAAGGGTGGACTAACACCGCAAGAGAGGACTGTAACCATTTTAACACATCAGGCCATAGTCCCAACATTTGATTCAGGAGCAGCATGTGATGTACGGGTTTTAAATCCTCAAGACAGATCTATAAAGATTGTTCCAGATATCTGGCCACATTCCATAGTGCTACATATACATTCATAAATATATACATCTGCTGTTACTTTCAAAAGGGTGGTTATGTTAGTCTAATAATAGATGTAGATAACTAATTTGATTATATTCTTACGTATGGCAATGTGTTCATCCCATTGTCGAGATCCGTTGGCCAGGAGAGAGTGTAGTTTTTCTATTCCTCTGTTGCAGGAGCACAGACTATTGTGATTTTACATGTATAACGGAGATGTGTGTATTGGTCTGTTAGTGTTCTGATGCGGTTGATGGTTTCACCAGCGTTTTGGAGAAAGGTCTAAGCCAGGAGGTGCAATGTTTGGGTCTCAAAAGAGGTGCTTATTCTGGTTATTCCACTCGGTTAAATTAATAAATGGCCCAAGACCGATTTAAATAACTCTGCTGGCAAATTAGAGACCATAAATAAGCACACTTTCTAATAATAAGAACTCCTCCACCCTCTCTTATACTGAAACTGGTTTAGAAGGGAACATTTACATAGTGTGAAACACCTGTACCTTATTGGGACTATCCCTCACCTCATCGAACAGTTGTAACATGGCTGTGAGCACGTCCGGGTGCGCCTTGTCCACCTCGTCAAACAGCACCACGGCATTGGGGCACTTCTTCAGACGGCTGGTCAGCTGGCCGCCCTCCTCGTAGCCCACGTAGCCGGGCGGCGAGCCGATCAGCTTGGACACCTGCACACCGCTCCGGCGCATGCCATTACAAGCGCGCGGATGCTGGATTACACACCGTGACCATTGCGCCAGGCTAGGTGCGCTTGAGGCCATATGTAGTCGCGAAAGTTCCTGGTCATGGGCTCAACGCAAACGCCGCAATCGGTAAACAAGAGTGAGCCGACTGAAAGATACGCCACCTGCAATTCTCACTGTGTCAACTCGCTGTGGTCTACTTGGCCAACGCTCCGCTGGTTTTAACAGCCACTCCTCGGCTTCCCATTAGGCTGTAAAGTAGCTTTCATCAGAATCAAAATCTTTATTTAGACTGGAGGAACCCAGTCTGCAGCAAGCCACCCAATAACACAATTCATGAGCCATCCTGCACGTCAACTCAGCTGCAAGTCCTCCTGTGCCACAGTAACTGATCTCTTTCCCCAGCTTGTACCATCCCTGCTCAACATCCTCTATGCAGCCAACACCAAGTGGCTCAGCGGTACAGCGAGCTGCTGACAATCGTAAGCTTGCAAGTTCAAATCCTGATTAACAGTTGACTCAGCCCACCAATCCTCCTGGGTCAATATGTTTTGTATGTCGAACTTCTTTTGCACCATACATAGACAGCCATCCGGATCGGAGGTTCTCCTACTTGTCCCTCCACCAGTGTCCCATGATGCACGGTGTGCGGCTGAGTCTTCCTCCAGTGTTTCAGAATGGCGTTTTCCATTTAAGGCGCACTACTTTGTGGACAAGTCGACAGTGCTTATCCTTTGGACTCACCCTGCCATATGAATGCAGAATTTCCACCACTGCCTCAGGCGTGAGATTGGCACCACCTCAATGCTCAATTGAGCAGGACATTGCTTTGACTTTTGACTCGACTATTCAGCTGAACAAAAGATGTTTGTACGTATGTTGAACTTCTTTCGCACCATACAAAGCCAACCGTGCTAATAGGAGGTGTGGGGGAAGGACAAATAAACACAAAAATCAATCTAGATTTAAAAGTGCATAGCCCCATGGCTCCCTAATATCGGAAGGAAGAGCGTTCCAGACAGCCACAGAAGCGCATCTGAAAGCGCGCGATGCAGTGGCCGTCTTTTGTCGAGTTTTCGCCAAAAGTCACTGCGAGGATGACTGGAGTTTGCATGATGGTTTATGCTCCTTGACGAGATCAGCAAGGCATTGTGGTTCATTTGCGGAAAGCACTTTGTGTGTAATGAATGCGATCTTACAATGTATTCGTTCGGGAACCAGAAGCCAATGTAGCTCAGCGAGCACTGAATAGACATGGCCGCATTTTGCAGTACCCGTCATCATGACACGTGCCATGTACATGCTGCAGTTTGGTAATGTTTTTGCCAGATGTACCGTACAGTAGTGAGTTGCTATAATCGAGCCTTGTCGATACTATGCTACACGCTGCTGTGTTGGCTATGTCACGTACGTATGTATGTCACGACTGAATAGTGGTCGAATGTGTCGTAAAGTCATGATATGAAAATTGCAGGACTATATTTTGCACGTGATGAGCAAACAACATATTCCGGTCGAGTATGGTGCCGAGGCGCTTTAGGTGAGTAGAATCCAGCAATCTACGACCGCCACACCTGATCCTCCCACAAATGTTTTCACCTGAGCCCAAGTGGCAACCAGCAGAACGAGCAGAACCTCGGATTTTCTTGAATTAAGCAATATCTTGTTTCGTACAAACCACACGTGCACCACTACCGTACAATCATGGAGGTTACCGAGGCTCTCCATATCTAACTTTGACTTCAATGCAGTCCGGAGTTGTGTATGTTTAGGCACACACGGCTGGGCTTCCTTGATACATGACTCAGCCAATACAGCACATCCCTGTCTGCCAGAGGAGTTCACTCATAGAGGAGATTGTGAAAGATTTCTCGTGTCAATGAGGAATACTCTACAGGGAAAGCCAGAGCACGCATTCGGTAACACACCCACACCCATACCCAAAGGCAAGATCTGCTTACCTCATGTTTCCCTTGAAACTCCGACATGTCCAAACGTATGAATCCCTGTGCAAACAGAGAAAAGTATTCCCTTCAGCCTTAACACATGCGATTATAAAGGACTAATGAAGGCCAATACAGCATGGTGTGTCTAGCACAGTAGGAGTTAACTGCTTTATGAATTATCAATTAACTGTTAATTATTACAGTAAGGTATAGTAACTATAGGTAATTGTTAGTTGAAACTATATTAAAGTAAACTATATTAAAGAATAGATAAATTCATATTTGTATTGTATAGGCTTGATTAGATTATATTACCCACTCATCCATATTCAAATTCATTGTGGCATTTTTTCCATAGTAATATAACTGAAGCCAATGGAACCAGCACTAAAATAAATGCAGTCCCCATTAGTACATGTATAGTGACATCGCGGATGTCACTGTGTGGTGCCAGCCCTAGACAGTCACGGCATGCGATGTACTCACATCGCAGACATCACGTATGTAGCGACATCGTGGATGTCACTGGGTAATGCCGGCTCTAACGAGGCATGGCGTGCGATGTATTGCCATCGCGGACACCCCGTATATGGGTGAAGTACCAGCCCTAGAGGGGGCTCGGTGAGCGCCAAGTGGCACCACGTGTGGCGTGCAGTGCCAACCCCTAAAGGATGGGGTGTGAGAGTGTCAGCCATGGAATGAGGTTACCACAGGCCATGGCACTCTGGTTGACCCGGGAAGGCACGTGACGAGTAAGATCTACACAGGGGCCCCAAGTGGGGTCTGGGCGTGGTCACGTGCCGGGGCAAGATCCTGCTAGAGGGTTCGAAAAGGTGGTCCTGGCCAAGGGCGTGGCCAGCCACGGCCAGCGAGCATATAAACCGGGTCCCCGAGAGGGACCGGGGTTCAGCGTTGCTGTTGTCATCTGAAGATCTACGTTCTACGTTCTACGTCCAAGAAGAAGTCACCAACACGTGGACCTGGACCCAAGCCGGGGTCCTGTCCATTGTAGCTCCTCCCAGTGTAACTAGTGTAGTTACCCTGGTGGTCCACCACCATAGGGTGTTATCTGGTAAAGGGGCAGTTGCCCCTTTGTGTTAAGTGTGTTGGTATTAATAAATGTGTTGCTTCCAAAGAGTACGTCTGAATCCACTGCACATGTGCTATCTTTGTTTTTGTTATGTATAACATAGTGTTGCATAAAACTAAGAACCATATCTATGCTAAAATGAGCATTGAAGCACATCTCCATTATACAGCCCCCAGCCAGTGGTGGATTTTCCTCATTCCTATTGCTGGAGTGAGTGAAATCCATCGGAAAACCACTGATGACTTCCCAACAAAGTAGTACTAACTGTATCGATCCCTGAGGGATAATGGGCCGAGTCAACCCCCAACCAGCATTTCAACTCGCAACCAATTGTGAACTGCTCGCTCCACCGATGACCCACCTGGCCAGATTATGTGAAGGCAAAAATATGCGAAAAAGGCGTATTGTACCAACTGATTATTTATGTTGTTGCTTATACTAATGTAATCTTTGATTTGCTTTTTTGCCAGAACAAAACGGCCTATTCCCATTTGCACCCGAAGTGGCACATGAGACCCTATGATGGGATTGACGAATCACACACCTTTTTCAGGTCCTTGTGCATGTACTTGGCAATCTGTTTGGCGAGTTCTGTCTTACCTGTCCACACACAACCAAGGAACCAGATGTAATCATTCCACGTACGACAAGACAAGTGTACATCTCTCCGTTTCCTCATTAAATGTATCCGGCAGGTCACCATGGTTATTACTTTGGATGTATTAACCCAATGCCACATTATTGTTTTGTTTTTGAAAGATGTTTTCAGCCAATTAATGATGAGTGTTCATTATACAAGTGACCTAGCACCAACCTGCAAATGAGCATTATACTCTTTTTTTTCGGTAAAGTCACGTAGGTAAAAAATAATAATAAAAATAATAAAATAATAAATAAAAATAAATTAATTAAATCACGACGTTTCGGAGGCAACACAAGCTTCTTTCGTCAGGTGTAAATGAGCATTAGTCTGTCTGGAGGGGCAATGGTTTCTGTGTAATTTCAATTGAGTAATTTGGAGAATGTAGACAATATATCTGTACTTTGCTAATGACTTTGTGAATTTTAACAGAACAATAATCAGAAAGAAAAAAAATACAGATAAGCCTGCTACATACTGGGTCCAATCCCGTATCGGCATTTCAACTGGAAGATGATGTTAACAGAGCACAGCAACAAGCTCCACATCTTTCTTTGTTTGTGATTATTACGCATGTGTCATACAAACCAATTCCGGAAGAGCCCAGAAAAAGGAAGACAAGGGGATGCTCCTCATCATACCAACCGTTCTCCTTCCGGCGTATAGCTACACACACACACGCGCGCACAAACAAAAGTGTTCCTGTACAGATACATCACATGTATGTATGAACAGTGGTTGAAATGGAAGCTGAGAAATATGAAATCTACTTATCCTGCAACCCATGAACACTCACTGATCCTCACACACAGGAACAACAACAACCGCCGTTCACCACTAAGTGACGGTGATGTCACCACGGCGCTTGCGTCGTGCGAGGTGCACTTTGAGGCCATGTGAAATGTCAAAGGCCCGTTTGCAGGATGTCACGGAACAGACCCAAGTGCCATGGGTTGATTGACTGAGATGACTGTCAGATACAGGGACAGTCACCCACACACTCACGTAATCACACACCCTGCGTGTTTTCATTCTACCTTCCTTCTGTAGGTCTCGTCTCCCTATCATTTTTGCTCTCCCATTCCTTCCCTCCCCCTCTATTTTCAAAAGGCTTGTGTTTTATAAGCGATGCACAAATTATAGCAATACTAGCAGGCCAACCACAGGAGGAGCAAGGTAGCTTCAGGTTAAGTGCTTTACCACAATGTCTTACTTTAGGTTTATTTTACATTCATATTTATTTAAAGAAGTTGCTGGCATATGAGAACAGGTGTCTTGAGATAGATGCTAGGCATTTAATGGCAAGACAAGATAAGCAATGCGGAAGTCCAGAAGAGAACATAGCAGTTAAGTATCTTAGATTTTATTAGAAATAAATGGCGGCACTCAGTGGAATATGTGCAGGTTGGAGGAGGACCAGTTGAGTCTGGCAACCAAGAGGAAGATGTAAGGCCAGATGGTGGGAGACTGTTGGGGCATATCTTGGAGTTTTGCATGTCTACTGTGCAGTAGCTGCAGAATCTGGCAGAGGGTAGAAATCGTCCATAGCGAGGTGTGGTGGTATCAATGGCAATGGCCATGAGGACATCTTGATCCGAGTCCTTATTTTGGGCATTTAGTGCACAACAAAATTAAGGACCAGCCAACACAGAGATCGTTTTAGTATGAATGGCTTTCCAGAGACACGCATGCCCAAACAACACCAGCAGCACGGCCAACCCAACAAATCGGTCCTGAGCAGCTGTGCGCAAAAGTGCATCGCTTAGCAAACGGACATTAATACGCAGAATCAGCACGCTGGCTAGCAACCAGAGTTGGTCTCTGAGGGCTACAATGAGGCAGCCAGTCTCCTGCATGTTGGAGGTAGTGACAGGCCACGTCTGTGACTGACTCTCACCGGAAGCCACAGTAGCGATGGCACCCTCCTGTCCCACAAGGTACTCCGTGAACCTCTGCTCCAGCGGGTAGCGCACTCTCTCAGCTGCATCCTGGCTGTCCTTTAGCTCCTTGCTCTAGCGTCCACACAACACACACGGCAACCACGTGGCATACAGAGCTACAATCTGAACACTGCCCTTTCTCAGCTCTTATTTGGTCAATGAGAATAAACTAGGGGTGCAAAATTTTTTTTTTTATTACCGGTTACACGAAAAAGATGTAAAAAACTGGTGAATACCGGTTTGCCGCACATGTAGAGATTTCTAGAGCAATAAATGTAGAGTGTAGGTACGCCCGCCTGCTCAGCGTGGAAGTAGATCAAATACCCCAAACTCTATCCCTCACCCTACCCTCTAGAGTTCAACCCATTGGAGGCCCTTACGCCAGCATGGTGTGAGCAAACAATTGCAGGGCTCCACACAGTGACATTGGCCAGTGACTTTTGTACGTTGGCGCGTGCCAATCAGTGCATCTATATATATTAAATAATTCCGCTGTCTGGGGGTATGTATGCGCGCACTTGGAACAAACTTTATACAAATCCACATTGTTCAAGCTACGTGTGCAGATTTGGTGTCGGTCGAAGCCTGTCGTCTGTACATGTCGAAGCAAAAAAACGTTCTCCATGATCTTCCCATGCCAAGTTTAGGGGCGCAAAGCAAAAAGCACGCGTATGTGGGCTACTAAATAAAAGAAAACACGGAACACTAACGTGCTTATGTGCGCTACAGAAACAAATGGTTCTCTGCTAGCCTCAGGGACCGTGAGCCTAGCAACACGCATCGCTATCAATGGTTGGTCCTTGCAGGAGTCAAAGCAAAGCATCAGGGGGCTTGGTGGGGGGTGCTGGATGGAATGGTTAAATGACCGATACAAGAATGAGAATGAATGATGAATGAGTTTTAGAGAAATGAGAGGAATTTTTACCTCAAAATATTTTTTTAAATGTCTTCACATTTTTGCTTATGTGGACTGTGAAATTCAACACCGACTATCTAAAGCACTTATGTACATTACAAAAGTTGTACTGCTGGTCGTCAGAACACAGCGTGTGTGCAAATTAGAAAATGAGTAAATGAGGGAAGAATGAGGGTGAAAATATTGAGTGCATAAATGAATGAGAGGAAAGAGTAATTGAAATAGGGAGAAATTTGTGAATGAGGCAGGATAGAATGAGAAAATAAATCATAAATGAGAATGAGTAAATGGGGAATAAATTAATGCAATCAATGAGACGATTGAGTCAATCAATGAGTGGAATGATTGATTAAGTTAGTTAAGAATTATGATTTAGAGGAATGAGTGACTGCATGAGAGATGAATAAGAATTTTTTTAGCTCAAAAACATATCCAAAACATCTTTCACAAATCTGCTGACATGTATTGTGAAAATCACTTATTTTCTAAAGCGCCTATGTACTTTTCAAAAATGAAATGTTTCACCGAGTAAATGAGGGAATTAATTTGGTGTACTTGTAGTTGAGGGTGTAGTTTAGCGGTGTCATTTAGTTGTGTGGTCTTGTGTAAAGTATTGTAGTGTAATAGTGCAGTCGTGTACACAATTTCCGTAGTGTGTTCGATAGTGGTTACATTTAGATTTAAAGCTTTCGTGACTGCAGGGATTCATATTCTTGGTTCTTTCGGTAAAGTCACGTAGAAGGGAAATAATAAAATAATACAAATATTAAACAATAAAAATTCTCACGACGTTTCGACTGCAACACAAGCAATCATCATCAGGTGTGAAATCCACAGCAAGAAAATGTTTAAAAAAATATTTTATTATTTCCCTTTTACGTGACTTTACCAAAAGAAACAAGAATATCTTCTATAGTGGTTCGGTGTATTCATGTAGTGTTGTGGTGCAGTGGTGTGGTGTTGGAGTACAAATTGTGGATGTCATAGGTGTGTGGGTGTGGTGAGTGTGTGGACAATTAGTCTGGTAACTGGTGTCGCGTGAGTAGTGGGTGATGTCTGCTAAGTTTCAGGATAGCAGTGTGTCTGATAAGTGTCAGCAGAGTAGTGCCTGGTGTGTGTCTACCAAGTGGTGTGGTGTCTGGTGAGGGTTAAGGTGGATGACTGGTAAGTGGTGTCGTGGGAGTGGTGAGGTGTCAGGAGAAGGTCACATGTCAGGTGTCTGGTGGACGACTGGCAGTGGTGTCAGGTGGTTAGTGGCAGCTGTCTGGTGAGTTCCGAGTGGTCAACAAAGTAGGGGTGGAGTCCATGGCAGAGGAACCGGTATGGGGAGAATAGTTGAGAGAAGGCGACTGAGCCGATGGGGAAGATAGCCCCATCCTGTAGGACAGGCTGCCCTCGAGGTCATTCGTAAAATTCCCCTTGAAACAGGTACGGCAAGTCCTCGCCTAACGCGTGTTTTCACACTATAACGTGTTTTCGCTATAACGCGGTTTTTCATTAGGGAACGCTTTTCGCACAACGTGCGACATTATAACGCAAAACGCGCGGTTGAGCTGCATGGCTGAGCAGTATGATACAGTACACAAAATGATACAGTAATGCGGTGGGCAAACCCTCAGTTATTTGTTGTGCCATCTTCCTGTGTGTACGTGTCGTATCTTGCCAAACTTTATCGTTATATTTAAGGAGTAATTGTTTTTGCTTAATGCGTTTTTAGCTTAAAGTGGAACTTTTCAGGAACGCATCTACCAAGTCAAACGACGACTTACTGTACTGGTTCCTGACTTTTGGAACCAGTAATTGGTTGTGAAAATTGTTACCGGTTTACCGGTAACCTTTAAACAACCCTTATGCAAACACTGCAACCGTACCTTGACCTGGTGCTTGGAAAGCATTTTCTTGACATCACCTTCGCGAGCATAGTCCAGCGCTGCGTGGCCTGCAACGTCCACTTGTGTGGAGTCTGCACCTGTAAGACAAAGATTCCCCGTACAGGCAGTCCCCGGATTACGAAAGGGTTAGGTTTCCGAGAATGATTCGTAACCCGACTTTTACGTATGTCGGAAACTGAACAATTTTTTCCCGATTACTAGATTGTTTTCTCTCAGTACCGTATCGCGCTCTCTTCAATTTTCTATCTTTGCTGTTTTTTCCTGAATTTTTCTGTTGTGTGTAGTCACTTTAAGATGTTTCTTGTTTTGTTGCGGTTGCACCCGAGTCAAGAGCCGCATGGCTCACAGGGTTATACCTAATAAATGAAACTGAAACTATCGCTACCCGTATCATATCGCTGTCCGTATCATATCGCTGTACATACCCTCCGCACTTCCTACGATTCTTTCATTTCATAAAAAATCTACCCTAACACTACCCATAATTAAACTAATGGAACGTAAATACTGTATCCAATTGTTTATAAATACCACGAGACATTTTAATATTAATTATTAACATCAGCCTCTTCCAAATGTTCGCTTACCGTGCATTAGGCTAGGCCTAGACCACAAGCAATGGAAGTGTAATTGTGTTAAATAACGGACACGCAGTAAATAATTCATGAAATAAACTTAAAATAAAGAAAACTAGCGATAGAAACGTAGGAAAAAAGACATAGTTCTAAAATAAACAATTACGTAATGCTATGAAATAAGCGAGGTGCAAGGCTGCCCCGTCTTACGCGCTATTCATCTGCAACCTCACCGTGCTGCAATACTTGCACTTACATAACTAACGCAAACATTTCCGCATATTGAATTTTTTTACATTATTTATGGGAGCATTTCTGTAAGGTCGGATTTCCGTAAGTCAGGTCTTCCGCAACTTACTGTATAGAATGGAAATAATAAAATAATAAAAATAAACCATTAGAAAATAACACCAATGACGATTATATTATTTTATTATGTTTTATTTGTATTATTTTATTATTTCCATTCTACGTGACTTTACCGAAAGAACCAATAAGATGAATCCCTGCAGTCACGAAAGCTTTAAATCGAAATTTTACTGTATAGACTTAACCGACTTTTGGGGCAAGTGGGGTTAGTGAGCACCTATGGAGGCCAGCACGGCCTTCACCTCCACCTACACTGCAAATTGCTTTGATTCACGTCGTTTCCATATTTGCATCTTTCAGGAACGCATCCCCAAAGTAAACCGGGGTATCACCATATCTTACATCTCTCAACATCTCAAGTGTTCATCTCGCATTTCACTGCATCTCTCTTTTATTTGTGTACCTTTGACTTTAGTGTTTCTCCAAGATTTTACTCGCCCGGCTCCAAGTTAAAATCCATCTGATTTAGTATGGCCAATGAAGAGCAGCTCCGAGAGATTCATTTTCAAGTGACTTTGTGAAACGGGATTTTCCCTGTAAGAAATAAACATTGAATGTACTTGTTTGTATATATGCGGGAAGTGGTGGCACAGTGGTTAGCACACTGCACTACAAACCCGGTGAACCGAGGCCTCTTCCAGCTCATAGCCAACACCAATGACGATTATCTTAAACGGTCCTGGAACTCCCCAAGATCGACTCAGCCTCAAACGAATACCTGGTGTGATATGTAAACATCCCCACTTGGGAGATAAAGGCTATGGTGCTGGCTACCCACTTGCTCCAAAAGCCTGTTAAGGCTATATAGGGGATCTTAGTATTTTGTGTATAGTGTGTGTGCATGTATGTATAGGTTTATGAGTTTGTGATGTATCAATTGACACCTTGGACACCCTTGCAAATGAGGTGTTTACTCTCAAAGGATGTTTCAGGTGAAATATTTTAGAAAATAAAATTCGACGTAAACGAAGCAGACAGTTTAAAACTTGTGAAGGGGACCGAGAATTACACAGTTAGGGGTTTGATTTGTCACCCACGTAGTTAATGTATTCGATGGCCGTGCGCTCTCAAACCACGGGGGCAGCAGCAGTGCGGAGGTGGGACCTCCAGTAATGGCTATGATGACCCTTTGAACCTTATTGATTTATTACGTGGAAGGACAGATGTGTGAAAGTGGAAAATTGTCTGCTTATTTATTTCATTACTTATATTCTCCACAAAGAATCTAATCATTATTTTGTGTTGTGTATTGTATCATTTTGTGTCAAACTAGGACCCATATCTAAAATACGTGGTTCTTGCCCATAAAAATATAGCAGTTCACCAGCCAATGTTCTGCAATCTTAGGCCATGTGGCTGATAGGATGTGTAAAAAATACTTAACATTTTTTTAAAGAATGGCTAAATACGTGAAGGGTGTATTGTTGGCCTCTTTATTTTATTCCTTATTGCGTTATTATATTCTTGTTAGCGTTAGTCCACGCGAGCTGAAAGTTTAAAACATGCCTGTTGTGCACTTCCGATCCCCTTTGTCAGAGTGAAGTAATTGTGACTTACAATCTGCAAGTGTGTTTTAGGGAAATAAATAGTGTTTCCGTTATGCAAAATGTAAGCATGAAAAAGTAACATGAACCAATTATGGACAAACGTATCTTGTAAAACCAGTAGAAAGGTCACGTACGTTTTAAAGACATAAATCTCAAAATCTATTACGATCGTAAATATATATTTTTCAGGTTGTAAGGCCAATGGCCCAATGCAGCTATGAGTAGCACAAATGGAATTAGGAATAATGGATGCAGGGTTGCTGGATTGTGGCCAGCTCTGACCACAGAGGATAAGGGTCATGCATGAGGGGGTTCGCTGGTCGCCAGAGACACACAGAGGGGGCACAGAAGGGAATGGGGGTGCTCAGGAGTCAGAGTTTAACAGACTCAGCCTTGGGGGGGTTCCGCACGAGTGACCCCGAGTGGTTAAGTACGGCTTGACTCCCTCCGCTAACATAAGCCAAGGATGCGCTCTTATCCGTGAAGACACTGGGGCACATACGCACGCGTATACAATCGAGGAAGTTTGCATGCGCACATGCAAAGGCACAGGCGAGTGAACAAATGTACAGATAAAAGCAGAGGGAATGCGCACACAGATGAATGAATGGGCATGCATACTGAAACGTGCACTAGCAGAGAGGCAAATGCGAGCACAACGCACAAATCACACCTCTGATTAGCACGGTTGGGTACGTACGGTGCGAAAGACGTTCGACATACATACATATAATTCTTTGCGACTGCTGCGGGCTATAAGTTCAGCAGCAATGCATTGCAATGCTCAGTTTAACACGTAGGCTTTCGCGACCAATATTATTCATAATAAAGGTTTTTGGGTTAGATCGCGTTATTTATAAATGTGTCGTAACCCTCCACCACCCGACATGGCCACTCAGCAAAAAAGTGTTACGTTGACAAAAGACAAATCATTGACTACTTTAGCCCACTGGTGTGTTGAAGAGTGAAACCACAACATTTAAAATTTTTGAGTACGACGTTTCACTGGTAATTACATCCAGCATCGTTATAATTATGAACATTGCAATGCTGCAAGGATTATAGTTTACAAAACATACAATGCTCAGTCGTTCATATTTTGACAAATACACAACTAAAACAGCAGATGTTACTGCAGCACCTGAGAAGGGTACTAATGTTTCTCTTTCAGCCGTAATTATCTGTTGTAGTACGGAGTTAGACTGATGGCCTTAATCTAAGTTAATATTTTTTATTTATTTTACTTTTATTAATTTTAATTTTTCGCCTACGTGACTTTACCAAAAAAACCTAAGAATATGAATCCTTGCAGTCACAAAAGCTTCAAATCTAGAATTAATCTAAGTTGTCTTGTGGTTGTTGTTGTTGTTTGACTTGCATCCCACTGGGATTTTTGCACACAGCGTTGGTGTACGGTGCATTTTTCTGGAATTTTTTCTGTTTTTTTCCTGAATTTTCAGTTTGCGCATAGTCACATAGTCACTTTAAGATGTTTTCTTGTTCATGTTTTTGTTCTTTGTTTGTTGCGGTTGCACCCGATTCAAGAGCCGAATGGCTCACAGGGCGATACAAAATAAATGAAAGTGAAAACTGAAACTGATCTGGCCAGGGGGCTCAGTGGTACAGCGAGCGGTTCGCAATCGGAAGGTTTGCGAGTTGAAATCCTGGTTGGGGGTTGACTCGACCCACTATCACTCTAGGCCAATAAAAGGAGTACCACTTTGTGGGGAAGCCAACAGTGTTTGTCCCATGGGAAGACTCACTCTTGCCATAGTAATGTAGAACTTCCACCACTGGCTCAGGACAGTGAACAGGTGATGACCACTACCTCCTCAACGCTCATTTGAGCAATGAATCCCTTTTACACGTGCAAACCCACCCAGCAAAAAACACATCAGCCAAGACATGCACAGGAAGCGTGTTTGACAGATACCTGGCTGGCTGCACGTCTGCTGTTTTCAAGGGCGACCACTTTGCCAGATGACAAGAAGACCCAAAACAGTAAACACAAACCTATTGTACTCCACCGCAGGCCCACCTCCCCAGGCTTCTACACAGGCGCTCCATCTGTCCCTGTCCCATCAACCCACGACCCCCACAGCTGCAGGGGGGGGGTCTTTGCAAAGCGGTAAACCATAGCAGACGCAGTGCACACCACTGAGGAACCCTTGTCTAGTCCAGCGGCTCCTCAAACAAGGCCTTTGTGTGAATTTTACCCAAGCACAGCCAGAGATAATTTTCTCCGTGTGATATTGGCCTACAAAAACCTATCTTTTAAATTAACGACCTTGAATAAATACATAAATGAGCTATTAAATACGTGAAAATTATCATAACACAAAAACAAATTGGTTGTAATAAACAAAGTGAATACAAATAAATATGAAAGTATTAAATAATAATTATCAATGAATTTACCTTAAATTATGATGATGCTTCAGCAGTAGAAAGATGCAGTAATGATGATGCTGAAGACGATGATGGTGGTGAAGATGATCATTGTGATGTCATTACTGCTCCTACATAGACAATCTCCAACATACACATCTCACCACTTTCTTGCATCACATTCTCTCTCATCACTTTATATCATCAGTTTCTCGCATAGCATTCTCTCTCATTACTTTATTTCGTTATGAAATCTCATCACTTTCTCGCATCACATTCTCTCTCATCACTTTATCTCATCACTTTCTTTCTCTTTCGATGCAGTCGTGTAGAGTTCCAGATGTCATTCGAGAACAGCCAAAATCCCGGATAACAAGTTCGTAATTAAAAAGGGAATAGTGTATAGTTAATGCTTTGCAGGAAGAGGAAACTAAAAACAATACTGAGTACACACCTATTGTGTCAACATGCACCGAGACTATCGCAGGATGGCTGGCAATATGAAGCTTAAATTTTGACTTAAAACTTTCGTGACTGCAGGAATTAATATTCTTTGGTTCTTTCGGTAAAGTCACGTAGATAGAAAAATAATAATAAAAATAAAGTGAATAAAAATTGTAAAAATAAAATAAAAATTATAAACAAAAAAGGCACTAATGTAGACTGTAGCCTGATTGTTAAGTTTGGTCAGTGTACTGGCAGTCTATAATGTAGACTGTAGCCTGGTTCTTAACCTCGGTGAGCGTACTCGTAGTCTGTAATGTAGACTGTCGCCTGGTTTTTAAGCTGGTGAGCGTATTGGCAGTCTATGATGTAGACTGTAGCAATGGTTATTAAACTGAATGAGCATACTGAACAGCTGCCACCCCCATGCTGCTGACACACTTGGGCTATGCCCATCTCTAAACCTTTATAAACAGTTTGCCTTTAGAGGCTAACCCCCCTTTTCTTGATGACAACTGCTTGTGTTGCTATTGAAACGTCATGGTTTTTGTTTTTATTTTATTTTCTATTTTATTTTATTCAGGTTAAGAACCAGGCTACAGTCTACATTAAAGACTGCCATTACACTCACTCAGTTTAATAACCATTGCTACAGTCTATATCATAGACTGCCAATACAGTCGCCAGTTTAAAAAACAGGCTACAGTCTACATTATAGACTGTCAGTACACTCACCCTGCTTAATAACCATTGCTACAGTCTACATTATAGACTGCCAGTACACTTACTCCAATTTAGAACCAGGCTACAGTATACATAAGTGTTTTTTTATTCACTTTATTTTTATGTTTTTATCTACGTGACTTTACCGAAAGAATCAAAGAATAATATGAAGCTTATTAAAATTAAACTACCTTAGTGCTCTTGTGATATCGGCGTAGACATGAATTCGTTTTTTATTTATCACTTTTGCGGAACACAGGCCCAATGGCCCAACATGCTGAGCTGTGTGTGTGATCCGGAGCTGCGTGAGATCTGGAGTTGTGTATGATCTGAAGCTGTGTGTGATCTGAAGCTGTGTGTGACCCAAAGTTGTGTATGATCTGGAGCTGTGTGTGTGACCTGGAGCTGTGCGTGTGATCTGGAGTTGTGTGTATGACCTGCATCCAGAAGCAACTTGACCATGCGTGCATCGTCGATGAGAGTTGCGTAGTGTAGCGCCGTCACTCCCTGGAAACTGGCACGTGTGTTGAGGCGGTCGCTAAACTCATCCTCACGAACCACCAGCACTGGGCAAACACACGACATCACATCACCACCAACACGTCATTCAAAATGATTAGGCCATTGTGTGCCAGCGTCATTGTCCAAATTTGATCAATTCCAAAAATTACCAGTAAATTACTAAACTGGCTTTACACATGGCAGCATTCATTGCTTCGTAATGGCAAACTAATGCCCACTTGCAGGCCACTGCTGAGTCCCCTTGTACTGCACAGGGATAGCTGCCACTGGGGGTGACCTTTATATGTTTGCCATGAGATGTTATGTAATGCGCTTTGAATTCCTGAGGCATTTAAGAAAGTACCATATGCATTCAGAGATGATCATTTTTATGGCATTTTTATTTCTTAAAATATTTCATTTGCAAGGGTGTCTATGGTGGTGATTGACATGTACATTGCAAACATGCACCAACACATATGAGTGATCAAATGCATGAGTACAGCAAACCCTTCCCTCTCGTGGGATTAGCGATCGCGGTTTTGTGCCACATGTATTAAGGCACAGTTAGCCAATCGCGCCCCTGCGTCTCGACCATTCTTAGCCGACCGCAAGATTCCTGTACGCATCCGTAACTGCATTGCTCACGATGATGCTGCCACGGAAGAACACACGGCGTCATCTTGTGTTCATCTCGTCTTCCAAGCGGCCCATTGCAGGTCCCAGGTCACATGGTGTTCCCAGCCTCCAGTGAAGAGCCAATGAGGTTCAGGTGTACAATTTTTTATAACTGTATTGTACAGTACTGTACATAGATACGTGTACAGTATTGTACACTACATTACTTTTTGCATTTTATACATTTACTGTACAAGTTATATTTAACACTAAAAAATATTAAGCATATTTTACATTCAAAATGCTTCCTGTTGAATTTTTTCGTTGATGTAGGGTAACGTAAAACAAAAGGAGGGGGGGGGGGTTGTCATATTATTAACTGTGAACCAAATCATAGTTTTCCCATTTGCCTTGGAGTTAACAAATCGCAGATTTGCCTATTGCGGCTATTTTCAAGAACGTAACCCCCGCGATGGGCAAGGGTTTGCTGTACACATATAAATGACCATGACACAGGAAACCAATTAATTTCAAAACTACTACATCATCATCAGCCTTGCTCAATTCATAGCTGGGTGAAGGCCTTCTCAACTTGCCACCAGCTTTTTCGATTTAAAGCTTTCGTGACTGCAGGGATTCATCTTCACCTGAGGACGGCTACATGCGTTGTGGCCGAAACGTCGTGAAAATTATTTTAATATGTTTTATTTTTATTATTTTATTATTTCCATTCTACGTGACTTTACCGAAAGAACCAAGAAGAAGTTGCCACCAGCTCTCAAAATCCAGCGATGTGACAATCCATCCAGCAGCCGCGCACGGACTGATCTCATGGCTCCATCTCCTCGCTGGGCACCCTCTCGGACACCTTCCATTCCTGAGGCTACCGCTCCATTCTGTTCTTGATCATCGTCCGTCCTCCCTTCAATCGACGTGTCCCGGCAAAGCCCGCTCGTATTTCTTAATAGTTTATGATCTCATTCACCTGCAGAGGCTCTCTAATCCACGGGTTTCTCTGTCTCTCAATGTAATTCTGAGCAGGCATCGCTCAACGCTTCTTTGCACCCTGTTCCTCCAATTATCACGGTTGGCTAAGTACGGTGTGAAAGAAAGAAGTTTCGGTGTTTGTTAAAAAAAATCGCTAATGTCCATGTTTCTAATCCATATGCCATAGCAGGTGGTACGCACTAATTCAAAACTATCTTCTTGAGAAACATTGCGATACTCTCATCCATAAGACAACAAACATAGAATCATCCAACAACGGAACCTGTGCAGCTCCTCAGTGAAATCTGTGCTGGAGGCTGTGTTGCGTCTTCACATTGTAACAATACATTCATAAATAAATGCTACACATGTATACATATAAACAACAAAGTTGCTTCAATACAACATAATCATAACATTGGCACAGCAGCACGAGCAGGAAGGGTATTGGTTGCTCCAGCAGCTGCTAGGAACAACGCAGCCACAGTCAAACACATCTCACTCACACACACAGAGCCCCTTGTATAGCCATACAAACTATTATAGCACGTGGTGTTACAGAGCACCAATTAAGGCTGACATGGCACACAAGAATATGGTATGGCCAATAACATGCCCAGCTGCCTTCGACTCCCTCAAACACGACTTGTAGCCGATGTTATCCATTGCCACGAATCCACCTCTCTCGAGTGTGAGCCTGCTCATGCTCGTGTGTGTGTGTGGTTCGTGGTGTGTGCACACTCACCCTCAAGGGAGTGCATCCCCAGTGAGCGTGCCGTGCTGTAGACGTTGACAAAGTCGTCGCCAACATCAGGATTTGCTCCAGCAGCAAGGAGCACCTCAACCACACTGGAAATCACACGAAAGCTACCATTAACCATTCTTGATCGTATGGACACGAGTTGAGTAGTAACAATAAATCCATGTCTAAGTTGTAAATCCTGCTGCTGGCTTCAGAGGACAACCAGGAAATACCAATCGGGCCCCCGCAGAAAGCTCGCAGTGGACGTGAGTTCACACAAGGACCCAGAGACTCACAAAGAGACCCATAAACTCACAATATGTTGTTAGTTGTGGTGGGCTGCAATCGCATGTGGAAATAATCTTTCAATTTTCTCTTGTATAGGAAAAGCTTATTGCAGCTGCCTTGACAAGTCCACATACGATGTAAGGCAACCTGCTGCTTGTGGGACAGTGAGCTTCCTGATGGCTGGGCAGTAGTGGTGGGACCCTCCATGAGTTGTTTATTTGGGATGATATTTTGCGTTTTATGTAAGTTGAATTTCTTTCGCACCGTACGTAGCCAACCGTGCTAATCGGAGGTTCTCCCACTCGTTCCTACACCAGTGACCCATGATGCATGGCGCGCGGCCGAGTCTTTCTCTGGTGTTTCAGAATAGCTTTCTCCATTTAAGGCGCATTACCGAGAGGGTAATGATGTATGTGTGCCTGGACAGGTCATTTTCTGGTCGTGAGTGCATTCCCGGCAGTCTTGCTGCTAAACTGGCGTACGAAATGGGACAGTACGGGCAACCAAAATGCGGGGCTGAATTTTTACCAGTAATTAGCGACAATGACGTTATTGCCGCATGCGTGTCAGGCCAGTTGCACATTGACACGGAGTGGTGAAGGTGCCAATAACAGGCCATGGAAGAGACGGGGACTGTTGTTGATCAGTTGACTTGTGCGTCATGGTCACCCAACACAATCCTCAGTGTGTGCCTATGGGAAGTGCAAGTTCCACAGCTCAGAGTTGTTCCTTTCACGCACCTGTGGTGACAGTTGATGGCCGCCACCATGAGGGCCGTCCAGCCAAGCTCATGGCGAGAATCTGGATCCACCCCTTCAGCTAGCAGTCTGCGAGGAACCCAAGGCACACAACACACATCTATGCATCAATAGGTATAGGAGGGAGTGTATCTGAACCTGGGCCTCACATGTGTGACCAAACGTCAAATAGGAAATGTATATACTGTGACATGAGCAATCAATGCTGTGTTATCTATACCAGCATCTCCTTATACACCATTCTGGCCTTAACAGGTGCTAGGATTGTTAAAAACTGGTAAACCAGTGACCGTTTTCTGATAGATTACTGGTTCCAATAGTCAGGAGCCGGTAATCGTTTCCAGTGGAAATGTAGTCATTAATGCGTGTATTCAATGGAACGTGACACCTTACACAGGGGCCTAACTCCTGCGTGGTACATTTGCCCTCGACGTGCCGACTGGCTGTGACAATATACCATACATTTATACTGCTGCGTAGGCAAAGGTATTGATATTTAATAAACTTTCCCCATTTGTTTCAACTACCGTGCCAGGAAATTGAATCGAACGAGATTGCAAGGTAAGTGCGCACACCATTAACCCGCAGCATCTCCCTTCGTGCCTCAGGTAAATTTGTCAAAATGTAACATTTTTCTATATGTGTGAAAAGTTGGGAACCGGATTTTTATTGGCTTTTCATGCGACTATCAGTAAAGCAAACACGTTTTCAACAACCCTAATTAGGGGGCTTCCTAACAGTCCTTGGAATAATTACCTTCCTGGTTAAGTAGCTGGCGTTTGTCTTCGTGAATTGAGTGCACGAGTGCGTGTGCATAATTTTCGCGTGGGTAAGTACTTGGAAGTCATCCCAGCCATTGCTCATTCAAACTCTGCCTCTAAACTGTCATTGTTACGTGGCACCTGCAGCCTCCAATCTGTTTATGGGTAAACAGTGCGGGCCACTTATGTCCATCCCCCGTCACTGATATGCAGTTAAATAATCCACAACGCATTCGTCAATTTGCTTCAGAACACAGTTCTCTGGCAGATTGGCAGGTGTCCATCATGACCCACAAAAGCCTGAAACCACCGACTTAACTCCTATCTGAAAACTGCTAGCACATGCTTGTCAAGACTAGGGTTGGAAAACGGTAACTCTTGTAAGAATCGATTACCATTTCAGAAAGTCATAAAATGGTCATAATTTTCAGTGAAAATGTTGCAGGAACAATAATTTATAACGCATGCAAGGTTGCGGACCTAAAACGCAATAGGTGGGCATACCCACACTTTACCCCACATACACGAGCTGGTGATCGACTAACTGGTGTATCCATTTATATGGCTGGGTGGACAGAAGCGATAGGGAATATTTAGGAATTTTGCCCCATTGTTTCAACTGCTGTGCCAGTAGATAGAATTGAACCGACAATTTATGAATTGCGAGTCCAATGCGCTGCTCATAACACCGTGGCAGCTTCCCCATCCATGTAGTGAAGACAGGATAGCGGGAGGGGGGGGGTGACGTGGCCCAGCCGTAGCGACTTTACTGCTTGTTTTAGAGGTGAGCAGTTCGATTTCGGCAGGCTGCCCTGGTTATTACTACAAGTGTATCAAACCATACAAATAAATGCTGTCCGCTTCATGGCAGACGTTAAAAATGAAATGGTACAATGCGAAACGAGTAGGCAGGCCATTGTCATAGTCAAAATTCCAAAAATTTACCTGTAAATCATTCAATTGGGATTACACATAGCAACATCGCCCATATCTGTGAAACTATTGCAGACTTTGTTAAACATAGCGCCTCCGTGGTGATGAGAATACTGTAGCGCGAAGACCAAATGTAACAACTTTCATGATTACTCAGCAGAGCTTAAATTTTGCCTCCTTGCCCGCTTGACGCTGCCCTCACCTGTTGACCTCCACTGTGTCACCTGTCCGGGCAGCCCGCAGCAGACGCTCACCTGTAGGAAACCAAGAACAAGCAAACCAGGCTCACCCACCACACACAGCCACACACAAAACCACCATGCGCACACAGGGGGTAGGTGGCCAGTGCCACGCCAGGCCACCTTTGCCTCCCCAGTGGCGATGTTTACACACCGCACCAGGTACTCATTCGAGGCTGAGTCGACCTAGGGGAAGCCCACGACCGGTTCAGATAATCGCCATTGGTGTTGGCCGTGAGTGGGAATTGAACTCTGTTCGCCGGGTTCGTAGCGCAGTGCACTATCGCTCCCTGTCACACACAAACACTGTCTCACGCACGCCGTCACACGCATACGCTGTCACACCAAGTGACGGTGACGTCACCACGGCACCTGTGCCAGGCTAGGTGCACTTTGAGGCTATCACGTGAAGTGTTGAAGGCTCGCTGGCAGGAAGTCACGGAGCAGAACCAGGTTGTGCCATGGGTTGGCCGACTGAGATGACTGTCAGCTGTACCCACGATTGTGCCAATTGTTGTATTTTAGCTGCCCAGCGCTCCGCTCGTTGTTGTGAGCGTCGCTCCTCTGCCCTGCGTTATTGGAGGGCGACTGCCTCCAAGTGCCCAGTAGCGTCCTTCACGAGCCTCCTCCTCCACAGAGGCCGATCTGACACCGCTGGTACCGGTGTTTGGCAGTCACACACTGTCACACACACGCACTGTCACACACACACTGTCACACACTCTGTCACACACACACTGACACACACACACTGTCACACTGACACACACACTGTCACACACACACATTGTAACACACACGGTGTCACGCACACACACGCTGTCGCATACACACACACGCTGTCACACACGCTGTCGCACACACACACTGTCACACACACACACTGTTACACACACACACACTGTCACACATACTGACACATACACTGACACACACACTGACACACTGGCACACACACACACACACTGTCACACAAACACACACACTGACACACACACGCACTGTCACACACACACTGTCACACACACACTGTCACACACACACACACTGTCACACAAACACACACACTGACACACTGTCACACTGACACACTGTCACACTGACACACACACACTGTCACACACACACTGACACACACACACTGACACACACACACTGACACACACACTGTCTCAAACACACTGTCACACACACACACACTGTCACACAAACACACACACTGACACACAAACACACACACACACTGTCACACACGCACTATCACACACACGCACTGACACACACACGCACTGACACACACACACTGTCACACGCACTGACACACACACACTGTCACACACACTGACACACACACACTGTCACACACACTGACACACACACTGACACACACTGACACACACTGACACACACTGACACACACACGCACTGACACACACACACTGTCACACACACACACACTGACACACACACACACTGTCACACACACACTGTCACACACGCACTGTCACACACACGCACTGTCACACACACGCACTGACACACACACACTGACACACAAAGATAAGACAAAGATCCCCCATATAGCCTTAACAGACTGTAGGGGCAAGTGCTGTTAGCGAGCACCTATGAAGGCCGCAACAGTACACGAGGGGTGGGTGGCCAGCACCACGCCCGACCGCCTTTGTCTCCCCAGTGGCAATGTTTACACACAGCACCAGGTACTCATTTGAGGCTGAGTCGACCTAGGGGAGGCCCGGGACCGGTTCAGATAATCGTCACTGGTGTTAGCCGTGAGCGGGAATCGAACCCGCGTCGCCAGGTTCATAGCGCAGCGCGCTAACCGCTACACTATCGCTCCTCACACACACTGTCACACACACACACACGCTGTCACACACACACACACACTGACACACACACACTGTCACACACACACACGCTGTCACACACACACACACACTGACACACACACTGTCACACACACACACGCTGTCACACACACACACACTGACACACACACAAGCTGTCACACACACTGACACACACACACTGTCACACACTGACACACACACACGCACTGACACACACACTGACACACACACACTGTCACACACACACACACTGTCACACACACACACACTGACACACACACTGACACACACACACTGTCACACACACACACTGACACACTGTCACACACACACACACACTGACACACACACTGACACACACAATGACACACACACTGACACACACACACACACTGACACACACACACACACACAGTCACACACACACACTGACACACACACACACACTGACACACACACACTGACACACACTGACACACACACACACTGTCACACACACACACTGACACACACACACACACTGACACACACACACGCACTGACACACACACACGCACTGACACACACACACACTGACACACACACACTGACACACACACACACACACTGTCACACACACACACTGACACACACACACACACACTGACACACACACACTGACACACACACACACTGTCACACACACACACTGACACACACACACACACTGACACACACACACGCACTGACACACACACACGCACTGACACACACACACACACTGACACACACACACACTGACACACACACACACTGACACACACACACTGTCACACACACACACTGACACACACACACACTGACACACACACACACACTGACACACACACACGCACTGACACACACACACACACTGACACACACACACACTGACACACACACACTGACACACACACACTGACACACACACTGTCACACACACACTGTCACACACACACACACTGACACACACACACTGTCACACACACACTGTCACACACACACACACTGACACACACACTGACACACACACACTGTCACACACACACACTGACACACTGTCACACGCACACACACTGACACACACACTGACACACACAATGACACACTGACACACACACACAAACTGTCACACACACACACTGACACACACACACACTGACACACACACACTGACACACACACACACTGTCACACACACACACTGACACACACACACACACTGACACACACACACGCACTGACACACACACACACTGACACACACACACACACTGACACACACACACACACTGTCACACACACACACTGACACACACACACACTGACACACACACACGCACTGACACACACACACACTGACACACACACACACACTGACACACACACACTGTCACACACACACTGACACACACACACTGACACACACACACTGACACACACACACACACACTGACACACACACACTGACACACACACACTGACACACACACACTGTCACACACACACACTGTCACACTGACACACACACACACACTGACACACACACACTGTCACACTGACACACACACACACTGACACACACACACTGACACACACACACACACTGACACACACACACTGTCACACACACACTGACACACACACACTGACACACACACACTGACACACACACACTGTCACACACACACACACTGACACACACACACTGTCACACTGACACACACACACACACTGACACACACACACTGACACACACACACACACTGACACACACACACTGACACACACACACTGTCACACACACACGCACCTCTGTCCCCGCCGCTCGCCGCGTGGAGGGACCCGATGGCGAATCCCGCAGCCACGACCCAGCCCGGGCCCCAACGCGTCCTCCCCCGCGGCGTGAAGCCTCCTCCTCCTCCTCTCCCCGCGACCCCCGCGGCCTGCAGGGCGGCCCAGCCGTGTCGCTTCCCCGGCCCCGTCTCGGGGAGCAACCGGGAGACCAAAGCCCCGCGCAACGGCCTCAGCGCGGCGCGTACAGCCATGCCGCCGACGCAATTGCTTTCCCTACACTAGACACGCATACACCTTTATATATCCTACACTAGACGCGCATATACATTTATATATCCTACACTATACGCGCATATACATTTATATATCCTACACTAGACGCGCATATACAATTATATATCCTGTACTAGACGCGCATAGACATTTATATATCCTACACTAGACGCGCATAGACATTTATATATCCTACACTAGACGCGCAGATGCAATTACATATCCTACACTAGACGCGCATATACCTTTCTATATCCTACACTAGACGCGCATAGACATTTATATATCCTACACTAGACGCGCATATACATTTATATATCCTACACTAGACGCGCATACACCTTTATATATCCTACACTAGACGCGCATAGAACTTTCTATATCCTACACTAGACGCGCATACACCTTTATATATCCTACACTAGACGCGCATAGAACTTTCTATATCCTACACTAGACGTGCATAGGCATTTACATATCCTACACTAGACGCGCATATACATTTATATATCCTACACTAGACGCGCATAGAACTTTCTATATCCTACACTAGACGCGCATACACCTTTATATATCCTACACTAGACGCGCATAGAACTTTCTATATCCTACACTAGACGTGCATAGGCATTTACATATCCTACACTTGACGTGCATTGAACTTTATATCCTACACTAGACACGCATATAACTTTATATCCTACACTAGACACGCATACCCCTTTATATATCCTACACTAGACACGCATTGAACTTTATATCATACACTAGACGTGCATAGACCTTTATATATCCTACACTAGACGTGCATAGACCTTCATATATCCTACACTGATTCTAGATTTGAAGCTTTCGTGACTGCAAGGATTCATACTCTTAGGTTTATTCGGTAAAGTCACGTAGGTAAAAAAATAATACAAATAAATAATAAAATAATAATAAATGCTAATAATTAAATTAAATCGCGACGTTTCGGAAGCAACACAAGCCTCCGTCATCATCCTACACTACACTATACTCTACACATTCGTCAATCGCACTGTGGCCTGAACAGGCGACGTTTCAAGCAATGGCCCTTCACAGAGAGAGTTGAATACTGCCCTTTACACCACGGGGTCTGCTGAGAATGTAATCTTCCAAAGAAATTTCGACCTGTTTTTAAACAAAGCGTAGGAGTTACCTAATAGTAGATGTTGAGTAACTGTGCTTGTTAAATAAACTCCTTGCGAGTAAAATGATGAGGTGTCATTGGTTGGCACGGTGCATTGTGCGAAAGTGTTCCCACATCCCCGAGAATTCTGAGAAATTAAATGCCAGGCGCAATCATAGGAAACCATAAAAAAAATAACACGAAACTTAAAGCAATATATCCATACCTCGATTTAAAGCTTTCGTGACTGCAGGGATTCATATTCATGGTTCTTTCGGTAAAGTCACGTAGAAGGGAAATAATAAAAAGTAAAAAAAATTGAATTCTCACGACTTTTCGATTGCAACACAAGCAATCATCAATCAAGACCACTTCAGGTGTGAAATCTGCCACTTTTTTATTTTCTTGCTGTGCTTTTCACACCTGATGATGATTGCTTGTGTTGCAATCGAAACGTCGTGAGACTTTTTATTTTTTATTAATTCCCTTCTACGTGACTTTACCGAAAGAACCATGAATAAATATCCATATCTGTCAACCCCTTATCAGTGCCCTACCTTATTACAAACCAATTGAGATCTTATTGGTCACCCCGTGCCCTTATAAATGTCAACGTTCATCCTACAAACTCACAATCACAAGGGAGAAACACAAACAAATACATACATTTTTAGTTTTGCCCGTATTGAAACGGCTGTACGGCGTATAGACCTGAAAACTCAATTTCCCTGTAACAATACTGGGTGAGCCATATGGGTTGAGAGCTATTCTACTATGCACTACATTACTATACACTACACTATACACTACACTGCCGTACACTACTCTATACACTACACAACTTTACACTACACCACTACATACCTGGCAACCCCTTATCAGTGCCTACATTATTAACGACCAATTTAGACCTTATTGGTCACCCCGTGCCCTTTATAAATCTCAATTTTCATCCTAAAAAGTCCCATCACAAGGGAGAAACACAAACAAATACACAATTATGATTTATTTTTTGGCCAGTATTGAAACGGCTGTACGCCGTATGGACCTGAAAACTACATTTCCCTGGAACGAGTATACGGGGTTAAAGGGCCGTTCATAAAAGACGTCACGCACCTAGGGGGGGGGGGGGGGCAGACATTTGTGACGATGTGTGACGAGGGGGGGGGGTGAGAAATGTGGCGTAACATCAAAATGCGCAACTTTAAATAAATATAGACAACACGTTCTACTTTATTAAATAGACTTTTTAATAAATGTTTTCTCCTACAACATCAGAATGCAGCGCCACATTAAATACGCACTACAATGACAATAGTTTAAAGCGATTTGAAGCATGTTTTATATTTGGGGGAGGGGGCAGAGCTTTGTGACGTCATATTTGAGGGGGGGTCTGACTTTTTGTGACGTCGTGTGATGAAGGGGGGGGGGGGGTCAAAAATCGTCCAAAATAGCGTGACGTCATTTATGGACGGCCCCAAAGTAGTGGTGGTGGCTTTGGGTAGTGGGAGTCTGAGGAGAGGGCACAAGCGTTGGGGGGTTGGGAAGGGGAAGCAGACTGAGAAGTCCTCGATGAAGGAGTGTCAGGAACTCATCTCAGCGAAACGATTCGTTTTGAATGCAGCATCATTCGTGCTACACAATGGCTGATGAACCACAGACAAGCTTGGGAGGCTGCCAACAATCGTTCTGCACTAATATACGTACCGTATTAAAATGTTTTCGGCCAATGAGTGTTGTATACATGGGAGAAAACCGGAGCACCCGGAGAAAAATCACACGTGCGAGGGGAGAACGCTCAATCCCGTACAGCAAGGACAGACACTGCACTGCATTCTGCCGGCAAGCCAGGGTTATGGCACCTTGATGCCTACGGGAAGAGAGTCTCGCAAACATTTCTCTCTCCAATCCACCAACCCTCGCCCCCAGTGCTGCCTGACAAAACGTGCGCCACCAGCTCCCTCGAACCCCTCCCCTCCACACCCCACCAGACCCCCCTCCGCATCCCCCAAAACCCCCTCCACATCCCCCCAGACCCCCCCTCCACACCCCCCGAGACCCCCCTCCACACCCCTCCACCCCCCCTCCACACCCCCCGAGACCCCCCTCCACACCCCTCCACCCCCCCTCCACACCCCCCCAGACCCCCCTCCACACCCCCCTCCGCATCCCCCCAGACCCCCCTCCGCATCCCCCTAAACCCCCCCCCCCGCAACCCCCAAGACCCCCCTCCACATCCCCCGAGACCCCCCTCTGCATCCCCCCAGACCCCCCAAACTCCCCCCCCCCCCCCGCAACCCCCAAGACCCCCCCCCCGCATCCCCCAAGACCCCCCTCCACATCCCCCCAGACCCCCCTCCGCATCCCCCCAGACCCCCCCAGCATCCCCCCAAACCCCCCCCGCAACCCCCAAGACCCCCCTCCACATCCCCCGAGACCCCCCTCCGCATCCCCCCGCATCCCCCCAAACCCCCCCCCCGCAACCCCCAAGACCCCCCCCCCGCATCTCCCCAAACCCCCCTCCACACCCCCAGACCCCCCTCCACACCCCCCGAGACCCCCCTCCGCATCCCCCCGCATCCCCCCAAACCCCCCCCCCGCAACCCCCAAGACCCCCCGCATCCCCCCAAACCCCCCTCCACACCCCCAGACCCCCCTCCACACCCCCCCAGACCCCCCCTCCGCATCCCCATCGCCTCCGCACTACCCCCTCCCCTGTGCCGCCGCGCGACTCGCTGAAGCTCGCCTCGATGGAGCCGCAGCCGCCGCTCGCCGCTCTGCTCGCCACGTGCCTCCTCCTCGTGTCCGCTCTCCCGTTGGGTACAACGCGCTGTGTGCGGCGGCACCACACCACCCGACCGCGTCGGTACAAGCTCGTGTAGTGTCCGTGCAGGTGCGTGCAGGTGCGTGCAGGTGCGTGCAGGTGCGTGCAGGTGCGTGCAGGTGCGTGCAGGTGCGTGCAGGTGCGTGCAGGTGTGAGTATGCGGAACGGTGGTGTAGTGGTTAGCGTGCTGCGCTACGAACCTGGCGACCAGGGTTCGACTCCCGCTCACGGCCAGCACCAGTTACGATTATTTGAACCGGTCCTGGGCCTCCCCTAGGTCGACTCAGCCTCAAATTAGTACCTAGTGCGATGTGTAAATATCGCCATTAGGGAGACAAAGGCGGCGGGGCGTGGTACTGTGCCGGCCTTCAACCAACAGTCTGTTTAGGCTATACGGGGGATATTTCTCTTGTGCAGGTGTACGCATGTGTATACAGGTGTATACAGGTGTGTGAAGGGAATGCGTGCAGGTGTGTATGCGGACATAAGGTGGCTGGGCATGTGGGCTACATGACCCAGCCAACGCAGCCTCGCCTGTTGGAGGAGCCCACTAATTTGACCATGTCCAGATCTTTCAAGGATCTGTGAGCTCCTCACTCAATCCAGCCCGTTTGAACCCAGAATGGCTCGTTGGCAGGTCAGCCTTAACATTTCAAACCGGCGAAGATGTTTTATATTAGAGGGGTCCACGTTTCGGAAGCATAGAGAAGAGAGGGCATAACTGTGACCGCGAAGACCTGGAGCTTCGTATGGAGCGAAAGGGCAAGGTAGCTTTCGCATCGCGTTACGCAGCTGATGAAAATATAATGCCGCTCGACTGAGACTTCAACAGCCAAACCGGAACTAGTCATAAGCAGAATACCAAGGTATGGGAGCTTCTCCACTCTCTGCACAACTGCCCCAATCATTCATTGGGAGTTGAAGGGGTGGAGTGTTTGATGATCAAAATACCCATGCAGGTGCTTTATTTTTATGGGACTGATGGTAAGGCCCCACTTCTTTGTGGCACGTTTCAGGTACAGCGGTGTAGCAATTACCAGGTCATTGGCATACTTAACATGATTTACTGGGCATTGATCAGTCTCCTATTAGAGCGGTATCAGATATAAATTCCATTTTTACAGCCATGGAAATATTATTTAACTACGTAGTCATAAATATGTAAAAAGTAGGAACCAGAGGATATCCCTGTTGCATCCCAAGGTCAAGAGAAAATAGTTACGACTTCCAACCACACAGCTTTACCTGGGCCTGCCCACCATCATTAAGGTCAAGGATTGTGAGCAGAGGGTCAACGACCCTGAAAGCAAGAAGAATAGACCTTGACCAGGTCTATAAGCAGAGATGTAGGTCCTGTTGGATTTCCCTACACCTCTGCTGTAGCAAATGGACAGAGAATATGGCATACATAGAGGACCACCCCGTACTGAAACACCATGGGGGCACCGCATGCCCAAGCAGCTTGTTTGGCCGAATAGATGGGGCTAAACAGGTGGGGCATGGGATAGAGAAGAGATCGGCTGATGTGGTACCGAGAGGGTGTAGAGCTGAACGGACTTGATAAGAGCGGTGTCAAGATCGGCCTTTATGGAGGCTCGTGAAAGACGCTACTGAGCAGTTGGAAGCAGTCGCCCTCCAAAAACAGAGAAGCGACACTCACAACAATGCGTGAAGATGCGTATGGGGGTGCGTACACGCCACGGCACCTGGGTCTGTCCCGTGATCTGCCAGCGAGCCTTCGACGCTTCACGCGGCCTCAAAGTGCACCTACCCTGGCACAAGCGCCGTGGTAACGTCACCGCCACTTAGTGTGGAATGTTGGTGTGTGCACGCCGCCCCGTGTCCCCGTGCAGGGGCTCGCGGTGCCGATGGGCGCTTCGCGCACGCTCTGCTCCGCGCGCTCTTTGAGAATTACTCGAGCGCCGTGCGGCCCGTGAGCGACACCAACAGCGCGCTCAACGTGACGCTTCAGATCACGCTCTCCCAGATCATCGACATGGTGAGCGAGTGTGTGGGCAGGCGGGCAAGTGATGAGTAGGTGTGTGGGCGAGTGGATGAGTGGGCGGGTGTGTGAGTGGGTGGCTGGGTGAGTGAGTGGGCGAGTGAGAAGTGGGTGGGTGGGCAGGTGAGCGAGTGGGTGGGTGGACTGGTTGGCGAGTGAGGAGTGGGTGGGCGAGTGAGGAGTGGGTGTGTGGGCGGGTGGATGAGTGGGCGAGTGAGAAGTGGGTGGGTGAGCAGTTGAGCGAGTGGGTGGATGGACAGGTGGGCGAGTGAGGAGTGGGTGTGTGGGCGGGTGGATGAGTGGGCGAGTGAGAAGTGGGTGGGCGGGTGGGTGAGTGGGCGAGTGAGAAGTGGGTGGGTGGGCAGGTCAGCGAGTGGGTGGGTGGACAGGTGAGGGGTGGGTGGACAAGTGAGGAGTGGGTGGGCGAGTAAAGAGCTCTCTCTCGTGGAGGCCCTTCCCCCAGCAGTGGCGTGCGCACGGAATTGCAGGACTTCACCTTTACCTTTTGAGAAACGAAGGCAAGTGTACTTAGGTCGCCGTGCGATTCCTGCCTTTCAGACCGATAATCGATTCTGGAAACGATTACTGGTTTGGTTTGCCGGTTGTCATTTGACCATCCTAGTTTTTTTGCGTGTCGACAAAGCCAACGTTCCGCAGTATAGCCGAAGCAGACTGGTGGGACAAGTGCTGTGAGCGAGCACCTTTGAAGGCCGGCACGGCACACGTGGGGGTGGGTAGCCAGCACCACGCCCGATGACAGACGTTGTCTCCCCACTGGCGACGTTTACACATCGCACCAGGTATTCACATGAGGCTGAGTGGACCTACAAGTACAGGAAGCCCAGTAATCGTTCAGATATTGGTACGGGAGGTGGACGTGAGTGGGAATCCTACTCAGGTTGCCGGGTTCATAGGGCAGCGCGCTAACTGCTATGCTACTGCTCCCCATTAGACATCCTTCACCTATCCACATAACCCTGCCGCCACTCCGCTGCGCCGCAGGACGAACGCAACCAGATCCTGGCCGCGTACCTCTGGGTGCGACAGATGTGGAGAGATGCCTACTTGAGCTGGGACCGAGATCAGTACGATGGTCTCGACACGCTGAGGATCCCCAGCAGCCTCGTGTGGAAACCAGACATCGTGCTCTACAACAAGTACCCACCATGCATGCACCAGCAGCAAACAATAGCAGCTACGCAGCAACCGCTCCACCGACGAGCACTGCACCCACGCGCACATCACCCGCGCTCACCCCACCCAGGTGCAGCACGTGTGCCCTCGTGCATCACGCACGCAGCTGGGGCGCAGCCAGTTGCGGCGCAGTGTGGCACTCAAATGACAACCGGCGATCGAGTGAGCGGAACCGACCCACGCACAACTGAGTCGAGTCCCCGCACCACCCGATGCGGTCTGCTTACTCCCGAGGCTCAACTCACGCCATTCACCCGCGGTCCGGAGGCACTGAGGATGCATCCATTATTCACGTGCCGCGCTCGCGTTGCACGGCACCGGGCACGCTGGTGGCACTCGAGTTACTCTTGAATATTCCCAATTGTTTAAACCCAGTTGCCGACCACAGGCCATAAGGTCCAAAAGGCAGCCAGCACCAAGGAGCACGATTAAAAGTTGTAATAGTTGTGTTAAGAGTTAACACTGTTTTGAACTGAGGATGCTTTAAATAAGAGCTTGGAAGGAAATTTCAAAGTTGAGCATTGCTAGGAATTAAGCAGAAAGTGAATGAGTGGATGAGTTATTGGGTTAGGGTGATTCGGTGTGTTGTTCTATTATGGGAAACGGTGATGCAGTGGTTAGCGCAGTGCGCTACCGACCCAGCAACCCGAGTTCAATTCCCGCTCACGGTTAACACCAGTGACGATTATCTGAACCGATCCTGGGCCTCAATTGAGTACCTGGTGCTGTGTGTAAACATCGCCACTCAGAATTCAAAGGCAACCGGGTGTGGTGCTGGCCACCCACCCCCAGGTGTGCTATGCCAGTCTTCTGTGGTGCTACTCGCAAACAGCACTTGCCCCAACTCTGTTATTGGGTACGTGTAGGGGATAATTTTCTGCTTTAGTAGAAATGTCTTTTGTTGGGTTTCATCTCACGAGCAATAATACATCTTGGAATTAAACGGGCCTTTGCATCGCCATCATATTATTATAATTCACGCTCCACTACTCCACCTCTCATACGCTGAGTCTCATGTATCATTTGTATTATGCTTGTATACCCAAGAGAACCTCACTGAGTCTCAGCACTCGTTTTTAGGAGGGTCCTGCCAAGTTTCCACAGTAGGGGATGATGTTTCCTCGTTTAATCACAATTGAGTAATTTTAAAGTCCATTTTCAGCATTGGGATGTTTGGACAAAACGTTACATTGGGTGTGTTCTCTTTAGCTATGCCAGGCAACTGGAGGACCCAGAGGAAACCCACGCAGAATATGGAGACAAAATACCTACTCCACATAAGAGATATGCCCTAGTCGGGTATTGAACCCATGGCCTTCTCGCCATAAGGCACGAGTGTCACCACTGAGCTGCCACCCTGCCGTTAAAGCGGACAACCGCGTCGTCAGGCACGTTCCACAGGTAGAACCCTCTCCGCATCGCCGATCGCGACCATGAGCAGCCTCCGCCAAGCGAGGAGGCGAAGGTTGAGCGACTCCCCACCCATCCTCTCCACCCCCCCCCCCCCCGCAGTGCCGACGATGAGTTCACGCGCTCCATGGAGACCAACGTGGTACTGCGGCACACGGGCGACATCACGTGGGATCAGCCGTCCATCACCAGGAGCTCATGCGGCGTGGACGTCTCCTATTTCCCGTTCGATGCCCAGCAGTGCCACCTGACGTTCGGCTCGTGGACCTACAATGGGCATCAGGTGAGCGCACGGAGGACATGCAACGCCACCGTCGTCTATGCCCTTGTTCTGCGTCACGGGTCATCCCGCGTGGGCAGGCCCGAAGGGACTGGTAAATCGGTCCTAAGTTTCCTGGTCACGGCCGACCTGGTTGAGCCACCCCACCGGAGCCGCGTGATAGCAGTTGGGTCACAGCGAGGGCGGCTTCTTCCCACGCCCACGGGCACGCGTGCAGGTGGACATCTTCCCAGGCCCAGACAACGCCGAGCTGAAGGACTTTGTCGCAAACGTCGAATGGGAGATCTTGGGCATGGCTGCACGGCGCAACGTCATCGTGTACGGATGCTGCTCGGAGCCCTACCCCGACATCACCTACACCATCACACTCAAGGTGTCCATCACCCACACTATCATGTCCTGCAACGCTTCCACCGGTATATCCACTGCCCCCTGCTGCCACTCGTTTCAAGAAACTGAACTCGTGCGCTTCTCCCTTCTAGCGACGTTCTTCATTCTACATCTTCAACCTCCTCCTCCCGTGCCTCATGATCTCCTTCCTGGCACCCTTGGGTTTCTACCTACCCGCCGACTCAGGCGAGAAGGTGTCGCTGGGTGTCACTGTGCTGCTGGCGCTCACCGTCTTCCAGCTGCTGGTGGCCGAGAGCATGCCACCGTCTGAGAACATGCCGCTCATCGGTAAGGACGAGCCGCGATCAGCACGCACCACGCGAGACGTGCCAAGAGCGCATGGGTATTAGACGGAGGAGCGGCGGGTGTGTCGCTTTGCCATGTGACGGCGCTCACGCCGCCGCTGCTGCTGCTGACTGCTCGGTCGCCTGCGCCACTCCTATTCCTCGCAGGCAAATACTACATCGCCACGATGAGCATGATCACGGCCTCCACGGCGCTCACCATCTTCGTGATGAACATGCACCACTGCGGACCCGAGGCACGGCCCGTGCCCGCGTGGGCACGCGTGCTCGTGCTGCACTACCTGGCACGCGCCTTCTTCGTCTACGAGGTCGGGGAGAACTGCCGCACGGCGCGGGTGCGCGCCGCCGCCCCGGCCACCTCCGCCGCGCTGCTCGACACCAAGGAGTGGGAGGACGAGGCGCCGGAACCCCTCGACGCCGCCACCACCACCGCCGCCGCCGGCCGCTGCCGACGTTGCTGCTGCTGCTGTTGCTGCGCGGGCACGCGGGGGGGACGCGTGGCCAGGGACGTGGCCTCCATCGCGGCGTTTGTGCGCGAGGCGCGCGCCGCGCACGAGCTGAGCAGCGAGTGGAAGAAGGTGGCCAAGGTGATGGACCGCGTGTTCATGTGGATCTTCTTCCTGCTCGTCTTCTGTATGAGCCTGCTCATCGCTGGCAAGGCCATGTGAGGCGGTCACAGGAACGGGGTTATGGGCAGGGGGAGTAATCTGGTCCAGGATTCCTCGTCTCGAGTTCTACGTCGCAACCACGATGCCCAGGCATGTGCCACGGAAATGGCATCACGGTGGACGTCACAGATACTGTGACGTAATTCGAAAAAGAGTAGGCCATGTGTGCCGGCATCATTGTCAAAATTGGCCAATATTGCTAAATTATTTTAAAATAAAACTTTATTGGAATAACAGCAAGCAACTGCATTACCTTGTTACACACAGACAGCTGTCATCAGGGGGTCCCCTATGCCAATGCTTCGCAACCGGTGTGCTGCAGCACGGTCCCAGATGTGCTACGGTATTTAGAATTGATCGGCAGGCACAGACAATGAAACAAACACTGCAGACATGAACGTAAAACAATGAAATAGAGGCACGTTGAAATAAAAAAAAATTAAGACAATTAAATTAACCATAATATACGTTTATTTTTTTAGATATAACCTACAAAAACACTCTATTATGTACGATATTGGTCGCGAAAGCCTACGTGTTAAACATTTAAATTAAACAATTATCAGACACATAGACGCAAATATACAGTGAGGGATAAAAGTATTTGATCCCCTGCTGATTTTATACGTTTGCCCACTGACAAAGAAATGATCAGTCTATAATTTTAATGGTATGTTTATTTGAACAGTGAGAGACAGAATAACAACAACAAAATCCAGAAAAAGCATATCAAAAATGTTATAAATTGATTTGCATTTTAATGAGGGAAATAAGTATTTGACCCCTCTGCAAAACATGACTTAGTACTTGGTGGCAAAACCCTTGTTGGCAATCACAGAGGTCAGACGTTTCTTGTAGTTGGCCACCAGGTTTGCACACATCTCAGGAGAGATTTTGTCCCACTCCTCTTTGCAGATCTTATCCAAGTCATTAAGGTTTCGAGGCTGACGTTTGGCAACTCGAACCTTCAGCTCCCTCCACAGATTTTCTATGGGATTAAGGTCTGGAAACTGGCTAGGCCACTCCAGGACCTTAATGTGCTTCTTCCTGAGCCACTCCTTTGTTGCATTGGCCATGTGTTTTGGGTCATTGTCATGCTGGAATACCCATCCACGACCCATTTTCAATGCCCTGGCTGAGGGAAGGAGGTTCTCACACAAGATTTGACGGTACATGGCCCCGTCCATCGTCCCTTTGATGCGGTAAAGTTGTCCTGTCCCCTTAGTAGAAAAACACCCCCAAAGCATAATGTTTCCACCTCCATGTTTGACGGTGGGGATGGTGTTCTTGGGGTCATAGGCAGCATTCCTCCTCCTCCAAACACGGCGAGTTGAGTTGATGCCAAACAGCTCCATTTTGGTCTCATCTGACCACAACACTTTCACCCAGTTGTCCTCTGAATCATTCAGATGTGCATTGGCAAACTTCAGACGGGCATGTATATGTGCTTTCTTGAGCAGGAGGACCTTGCGGGCGCTGCAGGATTTCAGTCCTTCACGGCGTAGTGTGTTACCAACTGTTTTCTTGGTGACTATGGTCCCAGCTGCATTGAGATCATTGACAAGATCCTCCCGTGTAGTTCTGGGCTGATTCCTCACCGTTCTCATGATCATTGCAACTCCACAAGGTGAGATCTTGCATGGAGCCCCAGGCCGAGGGAGATTGACAGTTATTTTGTGTTTCTTCCATTTGCGAATAATCGCTCCAACTGTTATCACCTTCTCACCAAGCTGCTTGGCGATGGTCTTGTAGCCCATTCCAGCCTTGTGTAGGTCTACAATCTTGTCCCTGACATCCTTGGAGAGCTCTTTGGTCTTGGCCATGGTGGAGAATTTGGAATCTGATTTATTGATTTCGTCTGTGAACAGGTGTCTTTTATACAGGTAACGAGCTGAGATTAGGAGCACACTCTTAAAGGGAGTGCTCCTAATCTCAGCTTGTTACCTGTATAAAAGACACCTGGGAGCCAGAAATCTTTCTGATTGAGAGGGGGGCAAATACTTATTTCCCTCATTAAAATGCAAATCAATTTATAACAGTTTTGATATGCGTTTTTCTGGATTTTGTTGTTGTTATTCTGTCTCTCACTGTTCAAATAAACCTACCATTAAAATTATAGACTGATCATTTCTTTGTCAGTGGGCAAACGTACAAAATCAGCAGGGGATCAAACACTTTTTTACCCTCACTGTATACTATAAGACAGATACATAGCAATTGAAATAAAAATTTAGAGTAGACAGACACAGAAATACAACTGAAACCGTGAAATAGACGAACAGACGGCCATCCTAAACTATCAATTCAACACAGACACACACTGAACACACGACTCCCCTCCGCGAGTTGTCTGAGCTGGGTGCCCCCCCCCCAGACCCCCCACCTCGGGAGTCACGCGTCTGGGAACATGCGGTGATCGAGGGGAGATCCACACACACATGACTCGACATTCCACATTTCCATGACGGCACTAAGTCCGTCCGAAGCGGCGCGTCACTTGAGAAAGAGACGACCGCACACACACACACCATCATTACACTGGTCAACAAAAAATAAACATTTTTTTTCTGGCCTGGACTTTTGCAACTGGTGCGGATTCCAAATCTGATCTCAAATTTGCTCTATCACATCTAATTTTTATGCTATCGGCATACCCAATTTTCATTGATTTTACCCGAAATTAACTCTGTCACTTATGATTGTAAGTTGTTGCGAGTCAGTGACTGCTTTAGTGTTAAAATATGGTGCTGTATTTATAGGATAGTGTGTTTATAATATTATTTTATGTAGATATCCACATTTATTTAATATTTCTCTTCTGCAGTTTTTATTGAAAATGCAATATTTGATATCTCAAAAACCTGATGTGATGGACAAAAACTGATGCCAGATTTGGAATCAGCACCCGAAACTTATCTTAACACCATTGGAATACCTTATGCCAGAAAAAGTGTGTTGACCAGTGTTATCAGCTGTAATCAATCCACTGATGGATGCAGAGCCGACAGTGGTGCGTTTGTTGGTTGGGTGTTCCACAACGAGAAATCAGTCTTGACGGTGAGCGTGAGTGGCGTGGAGTGAACAAGGTTGAGAAGCAATGCCCGAGGCTACAAACAGAAGAGAGCTGGGACATTGTTCGATCGAGATGAGATGCTATGTAACGCGCCTTGAGATGCTGGGTCATTTAAGCAAGCGCCCAATAAATGCAAATCATTTCACTCGTGTCATGGATCCTCCTCCGGGCGAGGGTTGAGCGACCTCGTGGGAGCAGTGAGGCCCTCACCCCCGTACCCTGCCCCATCCAAACATTGTCACGGAGCCGCCACTACAACGAACGCGTTTGCACGTGGGGCCATTGCAACAGCACGTGCACGGCCAGCCAGCACCAACCATTATCGAGGGAATCGCTTTTATCAGATCGGTGATCCCAGATCCCTCTTGCAAATAAGAATCCCATCCTGGGGCCCAAAATACCAAACGGCTTACGCAAGGAAGTTTCTAATTTCCCACTCAATGTAATTCCAAGTGTGCGTGCATCTATCCATGCTTCTTTGCACACCTTTCAGTTTTTCTCCCATGTTCTATAACGACCGTGTTTTGATCCACGTGTCGCCATAGCAGTTAACATTGCGCTCCGGTTGAATATGTATTGTTGGGGGACATTGTGCAGTGCAGTAGAGTGGAGGGATTCAGTGGTGTAGAGTGTGGAGGTGCAGTGGTGTAAAGTGGGAGGTGCGGTGGTGTAGAGGTGCAGTGGTGTAGAGTGGGAGGTGCAGTGGTATAGAGTGGGAGGTGCAGTTGTGTAGAGTGGGAGGTGCAGTGGTGTAGAGGTGCAGTGGTGTAGAGTGGGAGGTGCAGTGGTGCAGAGTGGAGAGGTTCAGTGGTGTAGAGTGGGAGGGGAGGTGGTGTAGAGTGGGGAGGTGCAGTGGTGTAGAGTGGGAGGTTCAGTGGTGTAGATGTGCAGTGGTGTAGAGTGGGAGGTGCAGTGGTGTAGAGTGGGAGGTGCAGTGGTATGAGTATGGAGGTGCAGTGGTGTAGAGGTGCAGTGGTGTAGAGTGGGAGGTGCAGTGGTGTAGAGTGGGGAGGTTCAGTGGTGTAGAGTGGGAGGTGCAGTGGTGTAGAGGTGCAGTGGTGTAGAGTGGGAGGTGCAGTTGTGTAGAGTGGGGAGGTTCAGTGGTGTAGAGTGGGAGGTGCAGTAGTGTAGAGTGGGAGGTGCAGTAGTGTAGAGGTGCAGTGGTGTAGAGTGGGAGGTGCAGTGGGGTAGAGTGGGAGGTGCAGTGGTTTAGAGTGGGAGGTGCAGTGGTGTAGAGTGGGAGGTGCAGTGGTGTAGAGGTGCAGTGGTGTAGAGTGGGAGGTGAGGTGGTGTAGAGTGGGAGGTGCAGTGGTGTAGAGTGGGAGGTGCAGTGGTGTAGAGTGGGAGGTGAGGTGGTGTAGAGTGGGGAGATGCAGTGGTGTAGAGTGGGAGGTGCAGTGGTATAGAGTATGGAGGTGCAGTGGTGTAGAGTGGGAGGTGCAGTGGTGTAGAGGTGCAGTGGTGTAGAGTGGGAGGTGCAGTGGTGTAGAGTGGGGAGGTTCAGTGGTGTACAGTGGGAGGTGCAGTGGTGTAGAGGTGCAGTGGTGTAGAGTGGGAGGTGCAGTTGTGTAGAGTGGGGAGGTTCAGTGGTGTAGAGTGGGAGGTGCAGTAGTGTAGAGTGGGAGGTGCAGTAGTGTAGAGGTGCAGTGGTGTAGAGTGGGAGGTGCAGTGGGGTAGAGTGGGAGGTGCAGTGGTTTAGAGTGGGAGGTGCAGTGGTGTAGAGTGGGAGGTGCAGTGGTGTAGAGTGGGAGATGCAGTGGTGTAGAGTGGGATGTGCAGCGGTGTAGAGTGGGAGGTGCAGTGGTGTAGAGTGGGGAGGTGCAGTGGTGTAGAGTGGGAGGTGCAGTCGTGTAGAGTGGGAGGTGCAGTCGTGTAGAGTGGGAGGTGCAGTGGTGTAGAGGTGCAGTGGTGTAGAGTGGGAGGTGCAGTGGTGTAGAGTGGGAGGTGCAGTGGTGTAGAGTGAGAGGTGCAGTGGTGTAGAGTGGGAGGTGAGGTGGTGTAGAGTGGGGAGATGCAGTGGTGCAGAGTGGGAGGTGCAGTGGTGTAGAGTGGGAGGTGCAGTGGTGTAGAGTGGGAGATGCAGTGGTGTAGAGTGGGATGTGCAGCGGTGTAGAGTGGGAGGTGCAGTGGTGTAGAGTGGGGAGGTGCAGTGGTGTAGAGTGAGAGGTGCAGTGGTGTAGAGTGGGAGGTGCAGTGGTGTAGAGTGGGAGGTGCAGTGGTGTAAAGGTGCAGTGGTGTAGAGGTGCAGTGGTGTAGAGTGGGGAGATGCAGTGGTGTAGAGTGGGAGGTGCAGTGGTGTAGAGTGGGAGGTGCAGTAGTATAGAGGTGCTGTGGTGTAGAGGTGCAGTGGTGTAGAGTGGGGAGATGCAGTGGTGTAGAGTGGGAGGGGCAGTGGTGTAGATGTGCAGTGGTGTAGAGGTGCAGTGGTGTGGATGTGCAGTGGTGTAGAGTGGAGGGCGCACGTGACCCCGTCTCCGGCGTCCCGCCCATGGCCGCGCCCCCACCGAAGCCAGCGCGACTTCTGATTGGCGGCGGAGACGTGACGCGCCACGTGGTGGGTGGGGGGGGCGTGCCGGGTCACGTGAGCGGCTCGCCATGGCGGAGCGCGCCGCGCGGGGATTCGGAGAGGCGCTCGCGGTGGAGACGCACGGAGAGGCGAGGAGGGGAGGGGGGAGGGGGTGTGATGAGGGGGGTGTGATGAGGGGGGTGTGATGAGGGGGGTGTGATGAGGGGGGTGTGATGAGGGGGGTGTGATGAGGGGGGTGATGGGAGGATGATGGGGGGGGGGGGCGAGGGGGGGCGAGGGGGGCCGGGGGGAGGCGGGTGGGCAGGGGGGGGGTGAGGAGGACCGGGTGGGGGCGGTGAGGGGGACCGGGTGTGGGGGGTGAGGGGGGTCAGGTGGGGGGGGGGTGAGGGGGGTCAGGTGGGGGGGGGGTGAGGGGGGTCAGGTGGGGGGGCGGTGAGGGGGACCGGGTGGGGGGGACCGGGTGGGGGCGGTGAGGGGGGTCGGGTGGGGGGAGGCGAGGGGGCAAGGGGGGTGTGAGGGGGGCCGGGTGGGGGGGGTGTGAGGGGGGCCGGGTGGGGGGGGGGCGGGGGGGCGGGGGGTGTGGGGGGGGGCGTGGGAGCGGGGGGTGTGGGGGGGGGCGCGGGGGGTGTGAGGGGGGCCGGGTGGAGGGGGTCTGGTGGGGGGGGGGCGAGGGGGCCCTGGGAGGTAAATAAATTGACCACCAACAACATTTTTGGTTTGTCCGATGTATCGACTCGCCCCCCTACCACAGTAATGTGGAATTCCCATCTGCGCCTGGGGATTGTAAACGGGAACAGAGCACCGCCTGGGATGCTCGCGTGTGAGCATGGACGGGCGGCTTGACCCTGAGCTCGCTCTGGGCGGCAGGCAACGAGAGGAGGAGATCCCCCCGCCACCCCCCGAGATGTCTTTCTCAGTCGCAGCACCACCACCACCAGGACCACCATCAGCAGAACCAGCACCACCACCAGCACCACCACCAGCACCACCACTAGCACCAGCACAACCAGCACCACCACTACCACCAGCAGCACCAGCACCACCACCAGCACCACTAGCACCACCACCAGCTCCACCACCAGCACCACCAGCACCACTAGCACCACCACCAGCTCCACCACCAGCACCACCAGCACCACCACCAGCACCACCAGCACCACCACCAGCAGCACCACCACCAGCACCACCAGCTCCACCAGCACCACCACCATCAGCACTACCACCACCAGCACCACCACCAGCACCACCACCAGCAGCACCACCACCAGCACCACTAGCACCACCACCAGCTCCACTACCAGCACCACCAGCATCAGCACCACCACCAGCATCAGCATCAGCACCACCACCACCAGCTCCAGCACCACCACCAGCACCACCAGCAGCAGCACCACCACCAGCACCACCACCAGCACCACCACCAGCAGCAGCAGCCAGGGCGCCACGCAGCACGGATTGACTTGAAATCGACGAGCAACAGGCAGTGCACTATGGCAGTCGTTTATAAATGTGTTAAAGCGTCTCTTGAATTGAGCAAGCGTTTGAGGAATGGAGACGATGGGAGGGAAGAAGCAGAGTGTTGGTGGCTGAGTGAGTGGCTTCGCGAGTAAGTTGTTGTGACCTGCAGTGTGGTGAGTGGGTGAGTATGTTGTGACCTGCAGTGTGGTGAGTGGGTGAGTATGTTGTGACCTGCAGTGTGGTGAGTGGGTGAGTAAGTTGTGACCTGCAGAGTGGTGAGTGGGTGAGTAAGTTGTGACCTGCAGTGTGGTGAGTGGGTGAGTAAGTTGTGACCTGCAGTGTGGTGAGTGGGTGAGTAAGTTGTTGTGACCTGCAGTGTGGTGAGTGGGTGAGTAAGTTGTGACCTGCAGTGTGGTGAGTGGGTGAGTAAGTTGTGACCTGCAGTGTGGTGAGTGGGTGAGTAAGTTGTGACCTGCAGAGTGGTGAGTGGGTGAGTAAGTTGTGACCTGCAGTGTGGTGAGTGGGTGAGTAAGTTGTGACCTGCAGTGTGGTGAGTGGGTGAGTAAGTTGTTGTGACCTGCAGTGTGGTGAGTGGGTGAGTAAGTTGTGACCTGCAGTGTGGTGAGTGGGTGAGTAAGTTGTGACCTGCAGTGTGGTGAGTGGGTGAGTAAGTTGTTGTGACCTGCAGTGTGGTGAGTGGGTGAGTACGTTATGACCTGCAGTGTGGTGAGTGGGTGAGTAAGTTGTGACCTGCAGTGTGGTGAGTGGGTGAGTAAGTTGTTGTGACCTCCAGTGTGGTGGTTGAACACAGTGCGGATGAGACGAGGAGGAACCAACGAGTGACGTTCACGGGAACCGTCACCATGGTAGAGTAGCTATAGAAGGGACATCAGGAGGTGACTGGTTGGAGTCTATCAGTGAGTACTGGGGTCACTAACCCTACTGCTTTACATTGTATTCCGTGGAGTAATAGAATGCGTTGTGCCGTGCAGGCTGCTCAACTGCACCACTCGATTGACACCATGCTGACACGCCTCGAGGAGTTTTGCAGCATGCTGGACATGGTGAGTTTTGGCTACCACTGCAACATTCATGCCTGACCCCCAAGGTCAAGACCAGGGATGTGTCGTCAGGGGAGGCAGGGCAGGCAGAGCTTCACCTGTCATACTGATCTGTGTTATAAATGTAATTTCTGTATGATTCCAATCATTACAGAGAGATAGTAACAGGCACGCGCGTATTGCCCGCGCTCCATCCAGTTTCTGAAGGGTTGTGCAATCAGTGGGGAGGCTGAGCATGTCCCTGCCTCACCTCTCGTCTCCCTGTATTTGCAGCGGAGCGCCGTAAATTTGGCGATTTTGACTATAAAAAGGATTGGAATCATACAGAGTTGACATAAGACAGATCAGTGGAAAAATCTTTATTTTTATTTTATTCTTCTTGGTTCTTTCGGTAAAGTCACGTAGAAGGGAAGTAATCTATATATATAAAATCGTTCATGTCTGTCTGTCTGTGTGTGTGTGTGTGGACTTTGGCCCATACGCACTTTCATTGGACGGCAGTTGCCCCTGGCAACGGCTAGCCACGCCTTCGCCGCTTTCATTGGACCTGGCAACGGCTAGCCACGCCTTCGCCAAGGGCTGCAGTTTCATTGGACGGCGGTTGCCCCTGCCAACGGCTAGCCACGCCTTCGCCACTTTCATAAGCTCCGTATTTAATTAAATAATAGCCATTACACAGTATTGTTGGAGCGCTAGGGGGGGGGAAGGAACGCCACCCGTACCCTGCCTCTTCCAAGCCGACAATTTTAGGCGAGGCCGCAGGCTTTGCACGCTACTAGGCCTCGACACCCACCACGCCACTCTGAGGTAAATTCATCAAAGTTTTTCCTACTCTTCACTACACCCCCACCACAATGTGTGCTATTAATATTACTTTTAAACCCAACGCGCCAACAATCGATTACTTTAATGTTCACTGTACAAATACTCATTAAGCTGGGTGAGCGTACTGCCAGTCTATCATGTACACTGTAGCCTGCTTATTAAGCTCAGTGAGCGTACTGCCACTCTATCATGTACACTCTAGCCTGCTTATGAAGCTGAGTGCGTGTACTGGTAGTCTATAATGTGGACTCTTGCCTGGTTATTATCATCGATTCTTTATATGTTCTTTGTACAAACAGTCATTAAGCTGCTTGAGCGACCCCAGTTCGATTCCAACTCACGCCCACCACCGCTGACGATTATTTGAAACGGACCTGGCCCTCCCCTAGGTCCACTCAGCCTCAAAAGCGTAACTGCTGTCGTGTGTGAACATCGTCACTGGGGAGACAAAGGCGGCGGGGCATCGTGGATCCAAGTCCCGGGCGAAGCCGGGTCATGTGTATGTGTGTTTGTGTTTATGTGTATGTCTGTGTGTCTCTATGTATGTGTGTATGTATGTGTATGTATGTGTTTGTGTGTATGTGTGTGTGTATGTATGTGGGTTTTTTTTTATGTCGTTATGTGTATGTCTGCGTGTCTCTATGTATGTGTGTATGTACGTGTGTGCATGTGCTTGTGTGTATGTATGTGTGTGTCTATGTATGTGTGTGTCTATGTATGTGTGTGTATGTGTGTGTATGTATGTGTGTTATGTGTCTGTCTGTGTCTGCATGTATGTGTGTGTGTATTGTGTATGTGTTTGTGTGCATGTATGTGTGTGTTTGTGTGTATGTGTATGTCTGTGTGTATGTGTTTGTGTGTATGTGTGTGTATGTATGTGTGTGTATGTGTTTGTATGTGTTTGTGTGTTTACGCTCGCATTACACAATTGTGTTGCTGGTCTAAGGCGTTCCTCGCACAGCATTGCCGCTTTATTATTTCAGTCGTTTACTGCCTTACGCACCCTGAAAGTCGTGTGTGTCTGCAGCAAGCGCGTGTATGTGTACCTATGGACGCGCGCGCGTGTGTTGTGTAGGGGGAACGGTAGTGTAGTGCTTAGCGTGCTGTCTGTGTCTGTGTGTGTGTGTGTCTGTCTGTGTCTGTCTGTGTGTGTCTGCGTGTGTCTGTGTGTGTCTGTGTGTGTGCGTGTGTGGTGTGTGGGGAGCGGTAGTGTAGTGCTTAGCGTGCTGTCTGTGTGTGTGTGTGTCTGTCTGTGTCTGTCTGTGTGTGTCTGCGTGTGTCTGTGTGTGTCTGTGTGTGTGTCTGTGCGTGTGTGGTGTGTGAGGAGCGGTGGGTGTAGTGCTTAACGCTACGCTGCGCTACCAACCCGGCGAACCGAGTTCGATTCCCGCTCACGGCCACCACCGGTGACGATTATTTGAACCTCCCCTAGGTCCACTCAGCCTCAAACGAGTAACTGGTGTGGCGTATTAACATCGGCACTTGGGAGACAAAGGCGGCTGGGCGTGGTAGATCCAAGTCCCGGGCAAAGCCGGGTCATGTGTATGTGTTTATGTGTATGTCTGTGTGTCTGTATGCATGTGTGTATGTATGTGTTTGTGTGTATGTCTGTGTGTGTATGTATGTGGGTTTTTTTGTATGTGTTTATGTCTATGTCTGTGTGTCTGTATGTGTGTATGTACGTGTGTGTATGTGTTTGTGTGTATGTGTGTGTGTATGTATGTGTGTATGTGTGTGTGTATGTATGTGTGTATGTGTTTCTGTGTATGTATGTGTGTGTATGTATGTGTGTTATGTGTGTCTCTGTGTGTCTGCATGTATGTCTGTGTGTATTGTGTATGTGTTTGTGTGTATGTATGTGTGTGTTTGTGTGTATGTGTATGTCTGTGTGTATGTATGTGTGTGTATGTGTGTGTGTGTGTTTGTGTGTATGTGTGTGTGTGTATGTGTTTGTATGTCTTTGTGTGTTTACGCTCGCATTACACAAATGTGTTGCAGGTCTAAGGCGTTCCTCGCGCAGCATTGCCGCTTTATTATTGCAGTCGTTTACTGCCGTGCGCACCCTGAAAGTCGTGTGTGTCTGCAGCAAGCGCGTGTATGTGTTCCTATGGACGCGCGCGCGTGTGTTGTGTAGGGGGAACGGTAGTGTAGTGCTTAGCGTGCTGTCTGTGTCTGTGTGTGTGTGTCTGTGTGTGTGTCTGTGTGTGTGCGTGTGTGGTGTGTGGGGAGCGATAGTGTAGTGCTTAGCGTGCTGTCTGTGTGTCTGTGTGTGTGTGTGTCTGTCTGTGTCTGTCTGTGTGTGTCTGCGTGTGTCTGTGTGTGTGTCTGTGTGTGTGTCTGTGCGTGTGTGGTGTGTGAGGAGCGGTGGGTGTAGTGCTTAACGCTACGCTGCGCTACCAACCCGGCGAACCGAGTTCGATTCCCGCTCACGGCCACCACCGGTGACGATTATTTGAACCTCCCCTAGGTCGACTCAGCCTCAAACGAGTAACTGGTGTTGCGTATTAACATCGGCACTGGGGAGACAAAGGCGGCCGGGCGTGGTGGATCCAAGTCCCGGGCGAAGCCGGGTCATGTGTATGTGTGTATGTGTTTATGTGTATGTCTGTGTGTCTGTATGCATGTGTGTATGTATGTGTGTGCATGTGTTTGTGTGTATGTATGTGTGTGTGTATGTATGTGGGTTTTTTTGTATGTGTTTATGTGTATGTCTGCGTGCCTGTATGTATGTGTGTATGTACGTCTGTGGATGTGTATGTGTGTGTCTATGTATGTGTGTGTATGTGTTTCTGTGTTTGTATGTGTGTGTATGTATGTGTGTTATGTGTCTGTCTGTGTGTCTGCATGTATGTGTGTGTGTGTATTGTGTATGTGTTCGTGTGTGTTTGTGTGTTTACGCTCGCATTACACAAATGTGTAATGCGGGTCTAAGGCGTTCCTTACACAGCATTGCCGCTTTATTATTTCAGTCGTTTACTGCCGTACGCACCCTGAAAGTCGTGTGTGTCTGCAGCAAGCGCGTGTATGTGTACCTATGGACGCGCGCGCGTGTGTTGTGTAGGGGGAACGGTAGTGTAGTGCTTAGCGTGCTGCCTGTGTCTGTGTGTGTGTGTCTGTGTGTGTGTCTGTGTGTGTGTCTGTGTGTGTGCGTGTGTGGTGTGTGAGGAGCGGTGGGTGTAGTGCTTAACGCTACGCTGCGCTACCAACACGGCAAACCCAGTTCGATTCCCGCTCACGGCCACCACCGGTGACGATTATTTTAACCTTCCCTAGGTCGACTCTGCCTCAAACGAGTAACTGCTGTAGCGTATTAACATCGCCACTGGGGAGACAAAGGCGGCCGGGCGTGGTGGATACAAGTCCCGGGCGAAGCCGGGTAGTACAGCTAGTACAATAATAAAAATAAAACATAATAAAACAATTCTCACGACGTTTCGGCCACAACGCAAGCAGCCGTCCTCAGGTGAAAACCAGGTCCGTCGAGGCGACAGAGTCTGAATGAAACAGCACACGAGCTTGGAGCATATATATAAGCTGGGCGCATTGACAAAGGAATTTGCATATCAAAAGGAATTTAGCATATTTATGGGAAATGCAGGAATGTGATTAGTACTGCATATGCATGTGCATTATGCAGGATTAACAGCATCAAAGGGAGCTGCAGTTACTGCTGCTGCTGCAGTTGCTGCTGCTGCAGTTTCTGCTGCTGCTGCAGTTGTTGCTGCTGCTGCTGCAGTTGCTGCTGCTGCTGTTACTGCTGCTGCTGCACTTGCTGCTGCTGCAGTTGCTGCCTTATCCATTTTAATATAACACTATGTATTATTCTACCCACCCTAATGTGTATCACACTGCTATATGTTTACTATACAATTACGACACCATACATTACTCTGCACACTGCACCATGCCAGTGAGTGGAACGCGGTCTGAAAGTCACCGTAAACGTGAACACAATCAGTTAAGATCCGAAATGGTTTATTACGTCCTTCCAATGATTGCTAAGCCAGAATCCATCTTCTCGGTTGAAATTGTCTCTGTGTTTGTATATGTGGATCGCCTCATGAACGAATCTCTCATGATAGCCAGGTGGCTTGCAGAGAACCTCTGTCGTGGAGAAGTCAATATCATGTGAGCCCACTGAGTTGTAACAGTGATCTGCCACGGCTGAGGTGTTTGTC